TAAAATATAAAATGCACAAACACGACCGCGAGAATACAACCCGGAGTAGTTGCCTCACGCTAACGCGCTCGGCAATTATGCAGTAGTCAACATGAAGCTTATGTCTGACAACTGTGACATCTAGCTACCAATCCCACGGGATCTTCTATGTGTTGAGACATGGCGGCTCAGGAATCCATCACTGGCTGGCAAACGTATGTACACAGCAGTTGTATTTGCCATGCAAGGGACTTTTTGCAAACCTTCTAAACGCTTTACACAGCTCCTCAGCATATCTATTAATCCTTGCTTTATTAATTTTTGTGTGAGTTTGTAATGTCACTCACAAAATTGCTTGTAACTACTGCAAATTCTACCTACGTATACGTACAAGTTGGGAAATGTATACACCATCAGTTCGTATAGATTGGATGTTAGAACTCATATTTAGAAAATTTACGACGTCAAAGTGAAAACTATCCCTCTTATCATACAACGTAGTAATATTCCCATAATAAGTATATCTAAGTAGGAAAGTGTAGTTGCGCTCTCCGTAGTTTTCTTGAGCCGAAGCTCAGAAGGATATAATTATGTCCTGTATGGCGTCATTAAATTTGGGGTTACTTAGTACAAGAAGGTCATCTAAACTGTCTGTCTGTCTGTGTGTCTGTTACCACGTTTTCTGCCACCACGCGCAACAAACCGGCCAAAAAGCGACACCAATGGGTTCAGCGGTACACTGGCTTTATTTTAAAATGCTAAAAACACTGGGTTCCATAGAAAACCAAATGAATGAAAAGCACTAAAGTGCAAACCCTCGGCGAACTGCGCATGTGCGGTACCACTAATTGATGGGCTGGGCTTTTTATGCCTTTACTCGTGGTATCCCGCTAGTAGCTCTCGGAGAGTCTGGCACGGGCTAGCTACAGTAGTAAATAGCATGCGGGAGTCGATACATGCCCTTCGTTGTGACTTGTTGTGCCTTCAAGACACACAGACCGAACGGACGCGGTCGAGGTAAGCCTGTGCTAATTTACATATTGGCTTGTTCACTTGGTTTTCACGCCATAACTTTGAAACACAGTAGTTTTACGAAAATCGCCTTCTTTAAAATCAACCCAGCCACTGAACCCGATCATATCGCGCTTTACCTGATTTCGTGCGCGCGGTGGCAGAAAACGTGGTAACAGACAGACGGACAGACGGGCAGACGGACTGACGGACTGACAGACACACTTACGGGACACCCTCGCTGCGCATGCACGCCGAGGGTTAATGAAAAGAACTGAAGTGCAAACCCTCGGCGCATTGTGACGCGCATGCGTAGGTAAACGCATGCGCCGCACCACTAATTGATGGGTTGGGTTTAGTTTTAGGTGTTACTCGTGGTCTCTTGCCAGCTCGCGCAGAGTTTTACGCGGGCTAACTACACTACTAGATAGCACGAGAGGCGATACACGTCCTGCATTCTATCTTCTGGTGCCTCCGAGGTACGCAGAGCACGCGGACCGGTCAGACCGTAGTAAGCCATCCCGTATGTTGTGTATTTGAATATTGGCTTTTTCATTGCCCGTTAAGTAGGTCGTATCCTTTGTGAGACGAACAAACACCAGAGAAGTGAAATTGACAGTAACAGACACACAGACAAACCCAAGTACAGTAACCCTCGCTGCGCATGCGCGCCGAGGGTTAACTAGCCAATATGCAAAGCTTAGCTTAGTCGTCCTGCTTACACTTTACCCATCTTTCTTCTTTCCCCAATCACAAACACAGACAAACCAACTACTGTAACCCTCGGTGCAAATGCGCGCCGAGGGTTAATTATTAAAAGCACTGAAGTGCAACCCGCGGCGCACTGTGACGCGCACGCGTAAGTAAACGCATGCGCCATACCACTAATTGATGGGCTGGGTTTAGTGGTCTCTTGCCAGCTCGCGCAGAGTCTAACGCGGGCTAACTACACTACTAGATAGTATGCCAGAGGCGATACACGCCCTGCGTTGCATCTTCTGGTGCCTCCGAAGTACGCAGAGCACGCGGATCGATCCGACTGTGGTAGCCATCCCGTCCGTTGTGTATTTGCATATTGCCTTTTTCGCGCTCTAGCTTTGCAACGGAGCAGTTTCAGAGAAAACCGTTCGAAATTTCTGACCTTCATTGCCCGTTCGGTAGGTGGTATCCTTTGTGAGACGAAAGAACACTCGAGAAGTGAGATGAAGAGTAACAGACAGACAGACTGACAGACACACAGACACACAGACACACAGACACACAAACAAACCCAATGAAAAGCACTAAAGTGCAAACCCTCGGCGAAGTAGCTCGCAGAGAGTCTGACACGGGCTCGCTACAGTAGTAGATATAAGCACGCGAGCGAGATGACTTCTTGTGCCTTCAAGATCGACAGAGCAAGCGGACCCGGTCGCCTGCCTGTGCTAAATATAAGCGCATGCGCATTATCCGCCAGCGACAAAATGGCGACTACCGGCATTAGCCATGCAATGCTCTAGCTTTGCAACGAAGCATTTTCAGAGAAAACCGTTCGAAATTTCTGACCTTCATTGCCCGTTAAGTAGGTCGTATCGTTTGTGAGACGAACAGACATTCGAGAAGTGAGATTGAGAGTAACAGACAGACAGACAGACAGACAAACCCAATGAAAAGCACTAAAGTGCAAACCCTCGGCGAAGTAGCTCGCAGAGAGTCTGATACGGGCTAGCTACAGTAGTAGATAGCACGCGAGAGTCGATACACGCCATTCGTTGTGGCTTCTTGTGCCTTCAAGATAGAAGGAGCAAGCGGACCCGGTCCTTTGCTAAATATAAGCGCATGCGCATTATCCGCCAGCGATAAAATGGCGACTACCGGCATTAGCCTTACAATGTGGAAGCGCTCTAGCTTTGCAACGGAGCATTTTCAGAGAAAACCGTTCGATATTTCTGACCTTCATTAAGGCATGCGCACTAAGACGACGACGGTGCGTCGTATATAGATAGAAATTCGAGCCGAAGACACGACTAGGAGGGCTCGCTCCGCTCGCCCAATTACTGCTAATTGGTGGTGTTGTTTGTGTTGCATAGCGATTACACATAAGGGTGTCTGGACATATTTTACCGTCATAAAGCTCTGATACATACAACACTGTGTATGCCCTGCCTCTCTGTATGCCCTAGCTCTGTCCTCCATAATACTATAATGCTTTTTAACTATATCACATCTGTTTGTGTTCACCTTGCTTCTGGATAATTGAAAAGCACTGAAGTGGAAACCCTCGGCGAACTGCGCATGCACGGCATTGATGGGGCTGGGCTATTAGTATGCGTTTACTCGTGGTCTCCCGCTAGTACACGCAGAGTCTGACACAGGCTAGCTACAGTAGTAGATAGCATGTGTGAGTCGATACACGGCCTTCGTTGTGACTTCTTGTGCCTTCAAGATACACAGAGAAAGCGGACCTAGAGGTAAGCCTGTGCTAATTTGCATATTGGCTTGTTCACTTGGTTTTCACACCATAACTCTAGAACCCAGTGTTTTTACCATTTTAAAAATGAAGCCAGTGTAGCACTGAACCCGTTGGTGTCGCTTTTTGCCCATTTTGTTGCGCGTGGTGGCATAAAACGTAGTAACAGACACACAGACAGACAGACAGTTTAGATGACCTTCTTGTACTAAATAACCCCAAATTTAATGACGCCATACAGGACACATATCCTTCTGAGCTTCGGCTCAAGAAAACTACGGAGAGCCCAACTACACTTTCCTACTTAGATATACTAATTACTATAGAGGATGGGGAATATTCTACTACATTGTATGATAAGAGGGATAGTTTTCACTTTGACATCGTAAATTTTCCTAATAGGAGTTCTAACATCCCATCTAAATCAGCCTATGGTGTACACATTTCCCAACTTGTATGTATATGTACGTAGGTAGAATATGCATTAGTTACAAGCAATTTTGTGAGCGACATTACAAACTCACACAAAAACTAATAAAGCAAGGATTTAGATATGCTGAGCTATGTAAAGTGTTTAGAAGGTTTGCAAAAAGTCATTTGCATGGCAAATACAACTGCAGTGTACGTAGACATGGCTACAATTATTGTACTTACGTACAAACTAACCTACTTACATAAAGGCAATTTTAGTCTAGTCACTCTTGCTCCTAACTGAGGTATATACTAGAGGCTTTTTTATACCTTGTTGTGGATGTTATGTCTATTAAAGTCAAAACTTCCCATGATGTTAATTAGAGTGTGTGCGTTGCTAGCCTCAAGGCCTGGGAACGAGGCTAGTGTGTTGCTTGCTCTGTGTACCTTGGAGGGTCAAGAAGTCACAACTAAGGGCGTGTATCGACTCCACATGCTATCTACTAGTGTAGCCAGCCAGTGTCAGACTCTACGCGAGCTACTAGTATGGAGACCACACAGAGGAGGTTGGACACGGTAACGTGATCACGCGTGAAATTAAAATCCCATCTTTCCATGCTGTATATTTTCAATGGAGAAAGGCTTCATACTTCAAGGTGATTTTGGTAACCTCTGTAAGCAGGTAAGCAGAGAAAGCTCGAAATAGCTCACGCTGCACTTTTTACCATTTTTGCTGAACTGTTACAAAGCTTTATTTGCAGAAAGTTCTCGCAAAGAAAAAGCAGCACACCGAAGGTAAAAGGGCCTAATTGCATTCCACGCTGTGTTTTTTTCATCACGTGAAAATTGCACAGTATCCAACCTCTTCTGGGGACCACGGGTAAATTCATCCTCTCGGCCCAACCAATCAATCAGTGGTACCCTGCATGCACAGTGCACCAAGGGTTTGCGTGCTTTTCATCAAACGTTGGGGTAGGTCTTTTATCTTTCTAAGGCACATGGCAACTTATGCACAAAGTTTAGGTAACATATTAGTAGCTGTTATGTACACTTACTCTACTAGAGTAATATGAGAGCAATATTATTAACCCTCGGCGCGCATGCGCTGCGAGGGTTACGGTAGTTGTCCCGTAAGTGTGTCTGTCAGTCTGTCAGTCCGTCAGTCCGTCTGTCTGTTACCACGTTTTCTGCCACCGCGCGCACGAAATCAGGTAAATACCGATATGATCGGGTTCAGTGCTACACTGGGTTGATTTTAAAAAAGGCGATTTTCGCAAAACTACTGTGTTTTAAAGTTATGGCGTGAAAACCAAGTGAACAAGCCAATATGTAAATTACCTCGACCGCGTCCGTTCGCTCTGTGTGTCTTGAAGGCACAACAAGTCACAACGAAGGGCATGTATCGACTCCCGCATGCTATTTACTACTGTAGCTAGCCCGTGCCAGACTCTCCGCGAGCTACTAGCGGGATACCACGAGTAAAGGCATAAAAAGCCCAGCCCATCAATTAGTGTTACCGCACATGCGCAGTTCGCCGAGGGTTTGCACTTTAGTGCTTTTCATTATACCATTATTCGTGCGAGGAATTAGTCATGCATATTCCTGTGTTTATGTGGAACTGCGCGCACGTAACGTGCTTAATACGCAGTCAATAACACAGTATAATTGGCGAGCGGAAGCGAGCTAACCTAGTGGTCCGAACGGCGCGATTTATATATATATATATATGTACCCGTACGTCGTCCAACTGCGCATGCTCCAGCATTACGCGCTTCTTTTTATCAGAAAGGGATTTCAACATTTTCATAATGCTGCCTGAATCGAGCGGAATCAGGGGAAACGCAACGCCTCCGAAGCTATCGAGTATTGCTGCACAGTCCAGCGAGAGATATTTCTACATTGCCACTTGTTCCCTATTCCTGCAAGACCAATCAGATTACCGGATTATGCCTGATTCGCGCTGTCGTCTGACTGTTTTTGACTCGACTCGAATTGTCTACTGCGCTCGGGTCGTTTCGGCCTACTTGGTCCTGTGCAATGTATCTCACTGTTTTGTGCACACACAAGAGTGACTCATACGATTAGACCCCAATTGTAAGCGCGCTTCCGCTCGCCAAAAATGCCATGCATTCGCCTACTAGTACACATATTAGCCTCCTATGCAAGCAATGCGTAATGCGTGGTTGGCCTAGGGTAAGGGTTCTAATCTTATATACCCCTTCCTTCAAAAAGCAGAATATTTCTACATGCGCATGAAAACTAATGCGTCCATGCTTCCTAACTTGTCCTAACCAATTGTTGTATATACAGCACATAAGTGTAGTTAGTTTGATTCTCCTTCACGCCTTCAGCTCTCATGCATGAGCTCTCAAACAAAACTATAGGCATTGTGCTCCAGTGTTTCCTATGGAAGAGCATAGATGGGAAGGTATTATTGGCTAGAAAATTTATCATTTTTCTCTGCATAAGTTTTGGTTTGGGAAACACTTATCATCAATCGTGCAAAAATGGCAGTGTATGTCACCACACACAATACCAATGGAGCGCATTGTTTTTCCCCAGCTACAAAATACTTGTTCTAACAAACACAAATGAGCTGCCATTCCATACTTCTCTAATATGTCAAGGAAATGATAGTCTACAACACTCACATACCATCAACAGGTTGTAGAGTAGGTTGTCCCTTGGGAGAGAAGAGTTCATTTCCAAGCACTGAAATTGCTCTGCTATGACAAATTTTTCCTGAAAAGGTACGAGAATAATACTAGTTCTACTAAAAGACTCGATAATGGTAAATACCTGTTTCTGTCCACATCTCCCTGCCAATTTGTTGCAGAATGTGAATATTTTTAAACGTTTCAATAATGGGAAATATTCTCTCGGAACGAGAGGCTACCCTCTTGTCAAGAGCCCGAACTAAAGCTATGATTTTTTCTTGCTTTGATTCCGGAGATACAAGGAGATTTTCCATTGTAGAGTGGGATAACAGACCCTTCGCCTGAAGCTGAGCTGCTATTATGACAGGATTATCGATTTCACAGCAGAGCTTTCCAAAAAAACGTTTGAAAATCTTTATAAGTTTTTTCCTTTCTTCTTTTGTGAGACTAATGTTACTGTCTGGAGAAGAATCAGAAGTGGCAGAGGAGGTAGGTAAACTTTCTTCGCGCTTTGCACCTGCTTTTTTTACTTTGCTATGACTCTTTTGATGGTTGTTGTTCCCTTTATCATTTGAGCCATGTTTTAGTGTAGCGGAAGAGGAAAAGCTACCTCTGTCCATGCTAGTCTCTCTGTGCCTAGTTCTGCTGCATATGTTTGGTTTACTCTCTCGGTTTATACTCTTATCACTAGAATCTGATTCTGTTTCCGTTGATGAATAATGCTCTCGTTCATTATCACTGTGTCTGTATTTCTTGCGTTTATGTTTTGGTTTTCTCATATAATTTTCCTCATCGCTTTTAGGCCCATGGAGCTTCTTTTTCTCTACATCACTTGCCTCTCCTTCTGTATCACTTTCCTTTTCCTTCTTTTTTCGTTGCCTACTGTCTTTCTCAAACTCTCGTCTTGCTTCAATGCTTGACTTAAAACGGCAATACTTCTTCTCGACCTTAACTGCAACTTTAATTTCATGAACAGAATCTGATTTTAGAGCCATTCCATGTTATGGGCTTTATTTGCTTCACACGGGCTGATAAAATACCAAGCAACCGATCACCTGGGTCACTGTGTTGTGTTTCAATAGTTTCAATTTCACTCATTTTTACCCTCATTTGTAAACCAAGGGATTTGTACTTCCTTCTTACTGGATAAAGGGCTTCATGCAAATACCCCAAATCATCTTCACCCAAACCTGTATTCTGCGATTCCTCGTGATTTGACCGGCTAGCCATTAGAGCTCGGCGAACGTAACAAAAACGCTTTTAGTCACGCTAACGCGCTCATGAACTCACTGACATGAAGACTTATTCTGACAGACAAAGATAACTCTGAAGAGAAACCTCAGCGGATATCCACCTCAGCCAGTGAACTTGTCCGTAGCTAGAGGTAGGTGGCCCCGCGTGACTCGTGCCCCACCCAGACTAAAAATAGTAGAGGTGCGACACGGAATGAGGTAATCGCCAGTATTCATTGCTGACGAACTAGACTCTGCTCAGTGCTCAGTTGTAGCGCGTTTCCGCCCGTCACACTAATTTCAGAATGCGCGATGGGGAGTAGGTCGCCGTTTGCACACCTGCTTGTTTTCACTCTCGCAAATAACCGCCTTCAAACCCCTGACCAAAATCCATACCTCTGGGTGGCCTGTTGCTTATCTGGCCGGCTCTCTCTTTATCACCCGGGAGGAGCCTCCAATAGTGCAGGTCTGGTCGTTTTTTCGATAGACACCATGAGCTCAAGAGCCTTGATTGAAATCCTAAAACGGCACATACAAGAAAGAGGAAGAGCAGGTCTCTCCAACCCACTTTCGTGTGATAATATTATTTCACCTCATCGCTAATAGCAATTTTTCCTGCTTTCGTGTATGCTGCTCTTTCACATTAGATTATTCTCTCCCCTTTTTATATTAAGGAGGACAAACATTGCACAATATTATACATAGGGGTGCTCCTACCCCCTCTAACAAGACTAAGGTGTCCGTTCCTCTCTCCTGTAGAGGTGTAGGGGAAGTAACACTGTGTATGAAACACTTAGGAGGAGGGGGGTATGTCCCACAAAAGTGTGCAAAAGAGAAATATGCAACTGATCCCTGTCCCAACCTGTGACTAATGGTAGAGCATCACATGGTCCAAAGTGAAAGAGGGCATTCACACTGACTGATCAAAACAGAAAGAGAATTGTTTGAGACTGATTGTTGTAGTTTTCAGTGGGAGGGCACTTAGCTAGCTACCAGCAATTTTCTACTTCTTCACTTTGGAGTAATGCAGCAATGAATGTCTACATATACCTTAACATTACATCTTCATAGCTATAGCCTATCAGCCTATGATAGATATGATATCATTCTCCAAACTAATCACAGTAAGGATGCTTAGGTGCTGACGTAGTAAGCTATAGGGCTGCTAGTTATGGGCTACTAGAGTAAGCCACCGATAATGGGACGCATTTGTGAAGTCTGTGCAAGACTAGATTGGCTACTGTGTTTACCAAAACGGGAACAGTATGTATGATCCAAGCGAGTGTATGCTCGATTGATAGCTGTTACTTTTGGCTATGCAGCGACCAACAAATGGCCCTTTTTTGTCTTCGCTGTTTTTGCTCACGAAAGCGCAAATAGGCGGGGTCGCGTAAGCCGCGTTTTACGCGAAAAGAAGTTCGCGGCTTGTTTCTTCTAACGCACGTTCCGTATGTTTTATTCTCGTTCTTCTTGCCTTATACTAGATGCTTGCTCACGAAAGCGCAAATAGGCGGGGTCGCGTAAGTCGCGTTTTACGCAAAAAGCAGTTCGCGGCTTGTTTCTTCTAACGCACGTTCCGTATGAAGCTCTAACTTTTTATTCTCGTTCTTCTTGCCTTATACTAGATGCTTGCACCACGATTTCCGTTTTTGTGAGATCAAAAAATTAAAATCTTACAAAAACGGAAATCGTGGTGCAGGCATCTAATATAAGGCAAGAAGCACGAGGAGAAACGAGAAAATTTTATAGCTTCATCCGGCGGGTGAGTTAGAAGAAACAAGCCGAAAACTGCTTTTCACGTAAACGCGGCTTACGCGACCCCGCCTATTTGTGCTTTCGTGAGCAAAAAGAGCGAAGACAAAAAAGGGCCATTTGTGGGTCGCTGCATAGCCAAAATGTACAGCTATCAATCGAGCATACACTCGCTTGGATCATTCATACTGTTCCCGTTTTGGGAGACTGTCCTACCATTGATGCGCTTGTCCGATCTTTGCTGTGCCCGAATCGTAACTTTACGGCAACGTCATTCCCACGGTAAAGCTCGGATAAGAGCGAATATTTTTATACAACAATTTATGACCAAGAACTACACTTTGGTGTACACAATAGCAAATCTAGTGCTGCACAGACTTCACAAATGCGTCAGAGAATACATGGCGTCCGATTATCGGTGGCTTACTCTACAATCCCACGTCAAACTACGGTGGCCGACAAGTGCCATCCATTTCGTGTTTCCATTTTCCAAATTCACCTCCCATTTTCTATTTTTTACCTCCACTTCCTGTTCGCCATCACGCGCTGCGCACGGTCGGATGATGCTTGGCCCCTACGGCTCATCAGACAATCGTGGATAATGGACGCACACAGAAAAATACTTTTTTTTCTCTATAAAAACATTTATGCACTATGCAATGGCAATACATGTATTAGTGGTAAACACTATGATTGAACATGTACCCATAATACTGTGATAAGGATTAAGACATTGTGCTTAAGTGATTGATTAAGTTGTGTTTAAATGAGAGATGTGGCCGAGGTTACAGAGGGAGGTAAAGAATTCCATAGGTTAGAGGTATGTGGAAAGAATGAAGAAAGAAAATAGTTAGACTTTGCTTTCATCAAAACAAATGTAGAAGTACTTCTGTGGGGATAATTGAAAGTCCTCCTCTGTGGTGGAAAGTCTGGAAAGTCACATATGTTGTTCAAAATCTTGTATAGCAAACATAAGTTCCGAAAATCCCTCCTAGTTTGCAGGTTAGGTAGGGAACACACAGAGAGATATTGCTTGTAAGGTATGTGCCACTGCTTGAGACAGATTTTAAGTGCAAATTTCTGTTCCCCTTCCAGCTTAAGTATGTCTCTCTGTAGATGAGGGTTCCAGACCTGGGACGCATATTCAAGATGAGGACGGACCAGTGAAAGATACAATTTTTGAAGAGAAGACTGTGACAAGTGCGCGCTGTACTGACGATAGATGAAGCCGAGCACTCTTTTCGCTTCAGTAGAGATGTCATGTATGTGACCATCCCAATGTGTTGGACAGTGTAACTCCCAGGTATTTATAGGAAGAAACTCTCTCAAGAACATGGCCACAAAGCATTAGAGACCTAGGGGAAAGAATATTTCTGCTCACTAGTCTGGATACGATCAGCATTTGTTTTTATTCATATTAAGGTGATTGGATACAACCCACTGAGAGATGGAGTCTATGTCACCTTGGAGTGAATCATAGTCACTGTGATTAGTTATTTCTCTGTATAATAGAATATCATCAGCATAGAGAACAACTCGTGCCCCTGGAGTTAACTGCACTGAAGGTAAATCATTGATGTAAACCAGGAAAAGTAGAGGTCCGAGAACTGATCCTTGTGGGACACCTGAACAAACCGAACTAATAGAAGATCGCTGACCACTGAGAACAACAAATTGTTTGCGATTATGGAGATATGAAAAAAACTACTTTAGTACAGTGCGTGAAACCCCCGAATCCCGTAGTTTATAAAGCAGAGGGCGGTGTGGGACAGAATCAAATGCTTTACAAAGGTCAAAGAAAACCGCGCACACCTCTTTACCATCATTGAGTGACTGTAGCCAGTTATGAGTTATGCCCAAGAGAGCACAGGTGGTGAGCAGTTTGAACGAAACCCCCACTGGTGGGAACTTATTGAATGATCTCCTTCAAGTTCGTGGAGAATTATGCTGTAGATATGTTTCTCAAGTAGCTCACTCAGAATGCAAAGTTGTGAAATTGGTCTGAAGTTTGAGGGTGAGTTGCCACCCTTTCCCTTAGGAATCGGTACGATTGATGACGTTTTCCATTCATCTGGAATTTCACCAGTTACAATAGACATGTTGAAAAGGGTTGTAACACTTGCAGCAATTGATGTAGCAGTAACCTTGAGCATCCTTGCAGAGATGTTATCAGGTCCAGATGAATCAAGTAATAGCATAGCTTCAACCTCGTCTTCGGTACACAAAGTATCTTGTGGGGTGCACGAACCGTCCAGTGACGTGAAATCCAGTAATTCCCCATAAGCACTGGAAATGGTTGAAACAACTGTAGAAAAAGTTATTTAATAGATTGGCTTTGGCTGTGTTGTCAGAGATAACATCTCCATTGGTGGACATCAGACAGGGGATCTGAGACTCTTTTTTTCTGGACAACTTTTACTGCCTTCCAAAATGACTTTAGATCAGAGGGGTTAGCTCTGGAGAAAAACATAACTTTAGACCTCTTCAACAAGTTGGCAACTTTATTTCTCTTCTTCTTGTAGATGTTCCAGTGACTTGAGACATGCGCCGAGCCTTAGGGTTGCCGATGCGGCTGGGAATATATACTGCCGGCCTGATTTCGCTGCTAACGTCCCTCGTCGACATTTTACCGATCCGTGGGGTCTCCAGGTGGGTGTGGCGACTAGCGACTGTGGACTAAGAGCGTGCGGCAGACCCTTACGCGGAGGTCTGGGTACCGAAACCAGTGTAGCTAGGTCACGTACAGAGCGGTGCCGTCGGACATCCGACGTGCTGCATGCAATTATGAAGCCGAGAAAGGACGGCAGTCGCGCCGCGCTGGTCAAGCTATCTAGAAGGCCGGGAAAACTGAGAACGGAAGCGTGAAATGGAAGCGCAAAATGGAAAAAGGAAATATAAAAATTGGAAGTACAAAATGGAAAATGGGAGGTGAATTTGGAAAATGGAAAGACGAAATGGAAATTGGAAGGATGGCACTTGTCGGCCACCGTATCAAACAGACCCAACAAAAACCAGCCACTGCCTGTTACATTCTTCCGCAGGCCATCCTGCCCACAAACAAAAGGGTCCCACGGAAGTCGCCTACGCTTGTTACAAAGTGACTCATAAATGAATTCATAATTAGAGCGGACCTTTCTAGCTATTTCCGTTTGGGTGAGCGTTTCCTGCCACATCCGCACGTATTTTGCTTTATATAACGACAGGACGGTGCAGCTACCTTTCTAGCTATTTCCGTTTGGGTGAGCGTTTCCTGCCACATCCGCACACATTTTGCTTTATATAACGACAGGACGGTACAGCTACTGCAATCGTCGGATCAATAAACTTACACGGCGGACCAGAGCATTGTCAACCTTCTACGATGGCGCATTGGACAACTTTCATACTCCTAGTGCCGCTGATCGCGGCACAGACTCCGAGGGATTGCCCCTCCAGGGCTAGTATTTTTCAAGACGTCTGCGCACAACATGATTTCCAGAGTTTGACTGCATTCAGAAGGGATACCAGGTTGCATCACAACGCATCCCTCGGTTTGTTAATAGTGTCTCAAACGGGATTCTCGCCTTACGCTTTTGTTTGTTGTTCACAGTTCGTGGAGACACTTTCGCTCCCGTCCCCCTTTTCGAACAGGCACCCCGGTTTGCGAGGTGCGTCTCGTCCTGTGTAGATATCGACCGCAGAAACGTTACGTGGTGTGTGAGGCTGGTGTATTTCGGTGAGGCCATTGAGGCTTGTGTTTCCCTTGGGGGTGAGGATCAGCTTCATATTAGCAGCACCTGCAACATGGCAGCACTTAATCTGCACCTGGAGGACCATCTCAGTTTGCCACCAGTGAGAATGCATCCTTTTTGCTGTGAGCTTTATCATTATAATTATTTTGTCACAGAACGATGAATGTATTTTTGGTCCTGGTTGTCTTGGACTCACTAACCTCAACTGGTTGTTCCGGGATGCCTATCTTACATGTATATCTGAGACTGAGAACTGTCGTGATGTAAGCAATGCCAGGATTCTCTCTTCTAGTAAGTCATAATGCTGTTCATGTGCACTAAACTTTAACTTTTGGTTTATAACAGGTAATTTGGTTCAACCGCCAAATATTGAAACGTTTACAGTATTACCCATGAGAATTCAACCAGCGGACCGGATTATAATTTCTGCAGTAATTACCTCTAGTTCACCTACTGTCCATATTACATGGGCTCATGGTAATGTCACCTATGATCTCCCTTCCAAACAAAATCCAATTTGCAGCCACGCTAAGGATCAAGTGAGCATTGAAGAACTTTGTTCTGTCTGTTTTTTTTATTTATTTCCTCTTGTTTTTAGGTATGTGTAGACCTAAAACAGCATGTAACCACTTTCAGAGTTTCTAGTACTAGCACTGACTGTGCATCACTCACGCGGATTGAAACCTATCTGATAGTTGACAATGCCACTCTGAGTGATGCTGGGACATATGTGCTCAATGCAACTGCTCATTTTGTAAAACCTCAAGTAAAGACCAAGGCAATCAACGTCACTGTTGGTGAGTATTCACCATTCATTCATGTATGATAAGCATGTCTATTCCTGGCTACATCGTTTCATTCTCAGAATGCGATGAGAGTCAGTTGTTTAAGGCCGCATGCTCCGAATCGAATATTGTGAAAGACCATGGGAGCAATGCAGGATGGCAATGCAGTTTTAATGCCCCACACAACTCTTCCATAAGCGTAGCTTTTAACGATACATTTGTGGTGCCCAAAAATAACCTGGGTGAAAAAAAAGGTCTTGGTGAGATCTGTACGTCAGGGAAGCCAAGTGCCACATATACTGTGATGGAAGAGCAACATGTGTGTGACAGCAAGTACACAGTCGTGGTGGTTGTGTGCTCAGCTGCGGAAGAGGTGGTGGGCAACTATTTTGTTTTATGGGGGCAAGGAAACGTCACAGAAGGGAGCGGAGTCAGCTTTAAACTCACTTCTTCCTCTGCTCTATCAACTTCATCAGGTATACACCTTTGTCTTTGATACATACATTATAGTAACAAGCCGCTTTGCTACTGATGCACTGCCTACAGTAGAACCTTTACATTAGCTCACTGACTAACTAACAGTTTGTATTATACTCTCTGGGTTTATTTTTCAGCTGCTGGAAAGAGTAGTGTGTCACCAGCTGCCTATATTGTTCCTGTGGCACTTCTCGTCCTCGCTCTTTTTGGCATCATTGTTGCCATTATAATTGTTATCCGAGCAAGGAAAAGGAAACGTGTTCTTGCCCACCTGCGAAGTCCAGACCCACTAGTCGCCCCAGAGGCGGCATACCGCAAGAAGAGCGACCTGTTTTCCCCTGTATCTCTACTGTCTCCACAATCGGCCAGGGCTGCTTTCAATGATCCTCTCGAATTTCCTCGCAATAGGCTCTACATCTATACTAACAAAGTGCTGGGTATGTCTACAATAACAAAGTCCTAAGTGTGTCATACTTACATGTGTAAGCCATATCTAGCTCATGCCTAGCAATAAAGTGACCATCAGCATACACATGTACACGCCACTACATATGGTGCCCATTACATAATAAAATGGTGCCCACGAACTTCCTGTGGGGAACCCTTATGAATTTCCTCTCTATTACATGTGGCAGGATGTGGTGTTCATTACCTCATATCAGTCTACTCTCCTGCCCAGCAATACCTTGCTGGCTCATTAGCTCTTTGTTCTTTTCCACAATTTCCTCTTCAGGTGAAGGATCATTTGGCAGAGTGCTTCAAGCCAAGGCTGATGGCATTGTTCCAGACTTGCCAAACAGGAATTTAGTGGCCATTAAAACAACCAAAGGTAGCCAAAAGATTTTGAGTCACACCTTCTGCACATACTTTTGCACAGAGACACATCATCATGCAAAGGTTCAGAGTCCAACCTGGATAGAGTTTAGGGTATTTCTGTACTAAAATTGTGCCACGATTTGAAATGTGCCATGCCTTTTGCCTCCTAGAGCATGATTCATGAGATCCTATTGCACTGGAGTAATATGACTGACAATTACCCCAAGTTTTATAGAACACTGTATCAAACAATTAATTTCAACAGACAATGCAACCAGTGTTGAGATAGAGGAGCTACTGGGAGAACTGGACCTGATGAGGAACATGACACCTCATGAGAACATCCTTAACCTCCTCGGCCAATGCACTACCCCAGGTAGGGTAGTATAATGTGCCAAGGCACTGAATGTTTAAGGGCCAGACATGAAACTACTACAAACAGCTTCCTCTGATGTCATTAATAGGAAGCCTTCTTGTTCCTTTACTAGCCTGCCAGTCTTCATTGGTTTCCTGTAGCGTGTGATGTCATGTTTGTTTCCTGTTCAGGAGGCCCTGTGTGTCTGATTGTGGAGTACGCCAGGTATGGCAACCTTCGTGACTTCCTGCGGCAGTGTGAAGAAGTAGTGCTCTCACTCAACCACAAACCACACATTCCTAGAAGCAAGTAAGTGTGTGAGTACTCTAGGCCAAGTTTACATTATACTCCTTGTGTTCCCACTTGGTCACTTGCAGATCTCGCACGAGGACATTTTCTTCATCGAGCTTTAGTTCCACTCATCCACTGATGTTGCGACAGAATTCATCCGTGTTCACACCTGGGAGTGCACATCACCACGCTGTTTTCTCATTTCCCTCTCCTCCATCTCACAAAATGAGCAATAGCAGCTCTAGCAGCACTACAGAGAGCAAGGCTGCTGCTCATCATCCTAGCACAGCAGTACCTCTTGCACACTCTGTGGCTCCAATAGGCCACGATTACATCAACTCAAAGGGCCTTGTTTACATGGAGGACGTGCACAACTTTGCCCTCCAAATTGCATGTGGACTTCAGCACCTTGCTAGTATGGAGGTATGTACTCAAGCAATGCAATGAATCTAATTAAAGGTGCTGAGTTATGACTGTACTTATATGCGTGGGTTCACTGACTTCCTGTTTGCAGATAGTGCACTGTGACCTGGCAGCTAGAAATGTGCTGATAGCTGAAGGGTTTGTTTTGAAGATTGCTGACTTTGGTCTGGCCAGAGACATCAGTGGAAGAGAAATGTACAAGAAGAATCCGAGGGTATATACATTAGCTATACAAAAGGCATAATAAAACAACTCAGTAACATTTCCTTGTCACAGGGCAAGATACCAGTGAAATGGACAGCACCAGAAGCATTGGAGCACAGAGTATTCACCAAAAAAAGTGATGTGTAAGTTCACTCATCTGAACAAAACTGCAATCAGGCACTGTGTATATTGTGTCATCCTTCCACAGATGGTCTTTTGGCGTTGTACTCTGGGAACTCTTTACCTATGGTGAGAATGCCTGTATATTATAATAAAGTCCCAACATCAAAATGTCAGCCATAGAGTGTCATTAGTACATCGTTAAGTATGGCACAGTATTTCAACATTAATTTTATAGCTAGCTATAGCTGGCCATTTATTCATAATTATGCGTGTTCCTATAGGTCACAGTCCCTATCCTGATCTGCACCTTGGACAATCTTATGATACAATCATCTCCTACCTGAAGGAAGGGAACAGAATGGCTCAGCCAGACAGCTGCTCTGATGAGTTGTAAGTTCAATGATATTGAATTATTCCTGCCGTTACTTTTTGTGTGACTGTATCATACCAGCTATGAACTGATGCTGAAGTGCTGGTCTTTGGATCCTGATGAGCGACCGACACCCATTGACATTGTAGCCACTCTCACACCACTCGATGGACCTTCTCTTCCAGACAGCAGTGATGTTTCTGAAGTGCGTGAAGAGGACTGCAAAACCAATGGTGTGACACCAAATGGCAATACCTACAATCAGTAAGCAGTCATTATTTAATGTAAGAGATTTTGTATAACCTTTCTCTGTCCTGCTCTATTTCTTGCAGGTGAACAGCAAACATGAAATTGGCAATGTATTTTGATTTTTTAGGCACTAACAAACGACAAGAGAAAATGGTCATTCTTGCGCGTGCGCACGTTCGGGGCAGTCTAGTTATTGCGCATGCGCTGCGGCTACGGTAGGTGCTCTAGCCTTGCGTTCCAATCGCTCCTTGTCGTTATGATTTGCACGTATATATAGCTATTAGCATGAGCACTCCTGCCAGCGCAAGCTCTAGCTATGATTTTTAATATGATCGATCGTTCGTAAGTAAGTATGCCGTCTGTCTGCCACCACGCGCAACGAGACAACAACGATACTAACAGGTTCATTGCTACACTTGCTTGACTTTTAAAAATGGCGATTTTCGTAAATGTACTGTGTTCGAAAGTTATGGCGTGAAAAACAAGTGAGCCAAGCCAATATGCAAATTTAATTAGCACTGGCTCGACATTATCAACTTGTCCTCTGTACCTTGGAGGTATATACAAGAAGTCAAAACGAAGGTCTTGTACTCACACGCATGCTATCTAGCTACTAGTGTAGCGGGCCCGTGTGCAGTGCGCCGAAGGTTTTGTATTATAGCTCCGAAGGCCACAATGCGAGGCCTCCCTTTCATTGTATGACGCTATCGAACTTACACTACGAAGAGTTTTAGATGACACATCAATATTAAACAGGTGCCTAAACTTCAACAACCTAAACATTTTTGAGTGGTTAACTATGTAGCCATTTTCAAGCAAAATCCTTCTCCCTCTATCATTTTATTTTTATAAAATGGGTGAGATAGCTATACATCTGATAGCAGACCTCCGATAAACAGACGGCGGACAATATCCGTGTTACAGATTGAAATTACCACTTGAGCGATGTGATTGCTCTCACCATTAGGTTAGAAAAGGCAGGATGGTTATTAATAGGTATATACTTCATGAGGAGGAGAGTAGCTACTAACTTACTAAGCAGTGTATAGGAAACTAAAACTGTTCATGTCTTGTCTCCACCAAGGGGGGGACTAGTATAGGTCATATTTTGTTTCGGAAACACACCTTCTAATGGAAAAGGAAGATGAGAAAGAAGGGTGTTAATCTCTTTGAGGAGGTGAAATGGTCATGTGTGGACAATGTCCATACACGCTGTTTCAAGGACTGCGTACAGTAGGGTGTACTATTTTGTGTCTCTTTCAAGTAGACAAAGGTGAGTTAGTGTGTAAATCTTGTCACGAAGTGTTCTTTCCAAGGATGTTGAATCACTATGTCCAGTACCAGCTACGTTGTCTGGCACATTTATCCTTGTTGTGACAACCGTGCATGTGTCAATGGGTGATTGCAAACAGAGACAATGGGAAATTGTTGGAGCTGCAACGGGGCTTGTATGTATGACAGCCCTGCAAACACGGCCAGAGGATGGCATCCTGTCCCCATCCTACAGTGTTTACATATGGACGAACGGGCCTATAAATGTTGAGCAAAGTTTCTTTCTAACATTCAGTCGTAAGAGCAACTGTAGCTACCATGAAGGTCTTCATAGTATTGTGCCTCGCAACCCTCGCTCTCTCTGCCCCACTGGCCCTGGAGGAGCAGTGGCAGAAGTGGAAGCTGCAGCACGGGAAGAGTTACTCAAATGACGTGGAAGAGTCCATGAGACGTGCAGTGTGGTTCAGGTCATACCACTACATCCAAGAACATAACTCTCAAACTAGCAACTCATTCCAGCTGGCACTAAATTCACTCTCTGACATGGTAAGACGCTCTTTGGTAATGAATCTGAATGCAAATTGTGTTGCTTTTCCAAAGACCCATGAAGAGTACTTGAGTGACTATCTCACACCTCAAACTGCTCAAGTATCAGAAGGAGTTCCTCACGAAGTTGCTTTCAATGTTACCTACCCCTATAGCTTGGATTGGAGAATGAAAGGCTTCGTCACAGAGGTAAGACCATAAAGCTACAACAGTATCTAAGAGTTAGGAACACCATACAGGTCAAAGACCAAGGGACTTGCAGTTCCTCATGGGCTTTTAGTGCAACAGGAGCTCTAGAAGGTCAACTGTACAAGGCCACCCGCCAGCAAATTAGTCTCAGTGAGCAACAGCTTCTAGACTGCTCCATCAACTTTGGGAACAAGGGCTGCAGTGGTGGAGTATCCACTAATGCTTTCATGTACGTTAATCGTTGTGGAGGAATCTGCAGAGAATCTGCCTATCCATACCTGGGATATGTGAGTAGTTTAGAACAATAATCACACTCATGCCTCGCCACACTGAGTTGTTCTTATAGGTCTATTACTGTGCCGATCAGCACTGCTCCAGCACTGTCACTTGCGCTGGGTTCTCTACTTTACCTTCAGGCAGTGAGAACTCTCTTTTGGATGCTGTCTACAACATTGGACCAATAAGGTTTTACCCATTATAGCCAGCTACCCATTGTAATGAACTGTAACTCATTTGCAGTGTCACAGTTGATGCCTCAAGCATTCAGTTCCAATACTACACCAGCGGAATATACTGTGATACCTCATGTAGCCAGTCCAACCTCAACCATGCCATGCTTGTGGTCGGCTATGGTACAGATGAAAGCACAGGAGTTGATTATTGGATCATCAAAAACAGGTATAGCTATGCAGTGAACAATACCGACACTATTGTTTAGGTAGTTGAACATTTCATAATTAAATTTTATCCAGCTGGGGAAGATCATGGGGAAGCAATGGCTACATGAAGATGATCCGAAACAAGAATATGTGTGGAGTTGCTACTGCTGCTAGTTACCCCATCTTGTAAATCATATTCATCATTGTATCACAGAAATAATAGACTAGCTTGCATGCCTCATTCATCTTTATATTTTGAGATTGTACATAATAGTGATTATCTGCTTTCTTTTTCTCGAAAACTATTTATTTTACGGAAGCTGCATAGCAAAATGTTTGAAATAATGCGTATATACTAATATTGTGACGGGAACGACAGTATATGATCAATTAATAGGGCCAGTGAAAGAACAAAGTTTTGAGTAGCATTTAGCCCTTATAATTATACTGCCACATTAATAAGTGTATGGTACACGAATAAACTCTTCATAAGAAGTCATAAAAACCATAGTGCATGGATTAACCACAGTTAATGTGAGTGGCCACACATAGTGTGCGAGTTTGTGTGTCAGCAAATTCTGTAGTATATACTTGGCAACGCACCCACTCGGTGGTAAAGTGGATGTCTACACTACTCTTGCTGCCCAATAGTGTACAACTATCGTTCCATGCCTCACAAAACATGCTACACCCTTACTTCCATCTTCCACAATTCCAGCATCCATCTGTTCAGGGCTAAATATAAACACAGTGACTGCATTATTCAGTTGCAATGCAGAATTACCCTTCGCGACTTCTTCTGGTAGACTCTATAAGTGCCACTATATACCATGACAAATTGTCAGCAAGGAGACTATAAATGCGCAACAAAGACTCGGACATTATTGTGACGAGGTTCATTTACATATTGTGATGTGATCATGCCATGAGAAATGTTTCATAGCATTGAACGACTGAATAAGCACTGAATTCAATATTGACACACACCCATGGTATTTACACCCCTGCTTTCTTTTGTTGCAGTGTGAAGCACACATCATTTTTACAAGCAAACCTGCATATATAAGACCAATAACCCTCTCCAAAGGGGATCTGAAAATAGATAGCTGGTGCAACATGAAGTTCTTTCTAGTGCTTTCACTTGTAGGCCTGGCACTTTCTGCTCCTTTTGCACAGGAGAAAGACTGGCAGCAATGGAAGAGAAGGCACGGGAAGAAGTATGTGAATGAGGTGGAGGAATCAATCAGGAGAGCTGTGTGGTTCAGAACATTTAAACACATCGAGGAGCACAACAAAGATGATGCCTATTCCTACAGTTTGGGGTTAAATAAATTTTCTGATATGGTAAGTCAAATCTAGTGTTTGCTATCGAGTGTAAAAGTTTATTCTTAATTGCAGACCAATGAAGAGTTTAGAAAATTATACCTCAGACCTGGAATGGAAGCTATGCGTCCAGGGCAGAGTCAAGTGGACACTAAAGTAACACACAATGTCTCAGCACCTTCTAGCCTTGACTGGAGACAAAAAGGATTCGTTACAAGTGTAAGCACAACCGTTATGAAACGTAGGTGTTTTTTAACTTTATGTAGGTGAAAGATCAAGAAACTTGTGGTGCGTCCTGGGCATTCAGTGCAACAGGAGCACTTGAAGGTCAACTCTACAAGGAAAAGAGGACACTGAAGAGCCTAAGTGAACAGCAGCTTCTTGACTGCACTGTGGATTACGGAAACACTGGCTGCAGTGGTGGATTAGCGACTAATGCGTATCGATATTTGCAAAGCTCTGGGGGAATTTGTGTGGAGTCAACTTACCCATACCTGGGATATGTATGATCATCTATTACCTATGTAGAAATGTGTGTTTATCTCGTTTCCTTCACTAGGTGTACTACTGTGCTGACCAGTACTGCCGCAAGGAAGCAGCCTGTCTTAGCTACGTCTTCTTGCCTTCGGGTAGCGAGGACTCACTCCTTAGCCACACTTACAACACTGGACCCATCAGGTCTGCAAAAAGAAAGTAAAAACGCCTCATATAATACCCTCATGTTTACTCTACAGCATTGCAGTTGATGCATCAAGTGTATCGTTCCAGTACTACACAAATGGCATGTATTATGACACTGACTGCAGCAAGACAAACCTAAACCATGCTATGCTAGTCGTAGGCTATGGTACCGACTCCACCACAGGTCTAGACTACTGGATCTTGAAAAACAGGTAAGCACGATATTAAATTTGTTTTCAGTTTCTCCACTCTTTCCAACAGTTGGGGCGAGTACTGGGGAGACAAAGGATACATGTATTTGGCCAGGAATCAGAACAACATGTGTGGCATTGCTACTGCAGCAACCTACCCCGAAATAGAAAGTGCATATTAGCTATAATTATAGTTAAGCAAGAACAAAGTTTGATATATATAGTAGATACCTGCAAATTGTTGATGCTCTGATGTCATCATTGATATCTATTATTATACCCATTATTATTATTTATCCTTGTGATCTTGTACTATTTGTGTGACTTCATTTTAATATGACAAATAGTGTTCAAACCTAGTCACATTCGTCAGCACAGTACAATTGACAATGTTTATAAATGGAGGCTGAACACCTTTTTTTATTAATCATGAGAAATGATGTGAAAGCAAGAGTACCTCTCACAAGAGTATAAAATATAGGTCACTGTTAGGTGACACATGTCGTATCTCGAGGTTCGTGCGATCGTAGCGCAGGACAATATCATAGAGACAGAGAACGGATTCACTTCCAGCAATGAACCAGTGGTGACTTATATAGTACATGATGCGGTAAAAATAGAACAGGAAATTACATCATACACTAGGATTACATACCGCATACATGACAACACATAACCCCTGATAACATTTCAACAGTGTAACCTTTCTATGGCAGTCAAATTTTTGAATGCAAACAATAGCATTGGAAATGACTGTTCAGATCAATCAGAGCATGCACCTGGTGTGTATTAGATATAGCCATCTTGTAGAGGTACAGGTCACATGTGCATTTTATTATGAGCCAAATGAAAAGGTTTTGTTCCCAGGAACAGATCTGAAGGGTAATAACTGTTGACACCACTATCTTCCATCAAGTTCTACATGCCATAAGCCATAAAACCATTTGAACGAGAAGTGCCAGACATCGCAAGTTGTAACCTTTGTAGGATTGTTCATTGTTCATTTTTCCTTTATGCCAATGCCAAGGTTTTTAGATTAGCAACCATACAATTCACCGAAAGCTATGTGGAGCATGGCAAATGAGCTCCATAGAAAGTAAACAGCACACAATTATAGAACAAGAAACAGAACAAAAAAAGACAAAAGAGGGCTATTTTGGACTACTTTTTACTATAGCTATTACTTCAGTGTAGCTTCTAACTCAGAGCTATTCATCTTACACCACAACGAGACTATTGCTAGTGATTTCACACATACTACCTGGCTAATAGCTAACTGACCATGGACCATGCACATTGGGTAGTGGGTGGAGCTAGCAATACCTAACACTGGTGTCACCTCTATTAAAAATACCACCACTCTCAGCAAGACAGTTCTGCTCCCCTGATAATACCTGGGTGGATGAAATTATCCCTAACCTTTTTCAGCTCCTAAGGTAAACACTAGGAATCCCCCCACAGTGGAGGTATGGCAGGTGTGCCTTTGCTGTATTATGTTGTAGGCTTGTAGAGTGCAGAGTGTCGCGGGTTTGAACCCAACCTAAAGCAGCTCCTTTTGGAAAGAGAGTTGTCATTGTGTAGTTTGGTTTGCCATTCCTTTTGACACCTTGTTGTTGACAAATGCATATGAGTACCTGCATATAGTTACATAAAACTCTTTGTAAGATAGCTAGCTACCTTCCAGGAGAGAGTTAGCAGTGCCCCTTTAATTACCAGGATCTAAAAGAAAAACATGAACCTCGCCATACTACCTATATACCTCACTGAGTTGAGTACAAACCATGAACCTATCAATTGTATATAACAACCCTGGAGACATCGATGCGTGACTGTACAATCAAACTAGCATTTGCAGTGTGGGCATTGTGCTCGTTACACATGTACCTAACTTTGCAGAACATTTCATCATCGCCATGCCATTGCAAGATGATGATTACGCCTATGTCTTTTTAAGTGCACACTTTAGGTTAAGGTGTCCCACTGATAGCTACCACCTATTATAAAGAGCTTTGATACTCAGTGTATGTCCATTTCGAGTGTAACTTCTCTTATGGTTGTCAGCGTTCGTTTCATTTTATATATTTCACTGTTAATCCATTAAAATATTGAATCATAATAGAAATACAAAAGGTACATTATATAGAAAGGTAGCCAAAGTACAATGTGTGTCTATTTCTCTATCCTTTGACAAGACTGCTATGATTACTGAAGAAAGATTTCTAAGATATCAGTGGGTAGGTTGCTGCAGTTGCAATGCCACACATGTTCTTGCCACGAACAATCTTCATGTAGCCATTCAACCCCCAAGACTTGCCCCAGCTACATAGCAGGAAAGAAATCATGTCACACTGTAGCTAGATAGCTCACTAAACTCTTACTCACCTGTTCTTAAGGATCCAGTAGTCAACTCCGCTGCTAGAGTCAGTTCCATAGCCCACCACCAGCATTGCATGATTGAGTCCAGACTGGTTGCAATCAGTATCACAATAAATTCCATCAGTATAGTACTGAAATGAAATGCTTGATGCATCCAGGACAACACTGCACACACAAATACAACAGTTAAAATTGAAGACAAAGTAAACTCATTTTAACCTTAGAGGTCCAACATTGTAAGTAGCCTGCATCAGGGCATTCTCATTTGCAGACTGAATCCTTACATATCCTCCAGTGCAGGAAAACACCTTTGAGCAGTAGTTTGCTGCACAGCCATTGACCTGAAGAACAGGGTACCACAGTGTACACACCATTCAGTCATAATACAAACTCACATATCCGAGGTAAGGGTAGCTAGACTCCCTGCAAACGCCTCCACACTTGGTGACGTAAGTAAAGGCGTTTGATGTTACTCCACCATAGCATCCATTATTTCCAAATGCTTCAGAGCAGTCAAGGAGCTGCTGCTCACTCAGGGAGACCAGTGTCCTCGATGCTTTGTACAGCTGTCCCTCTAAAGCTCCAGTGGCACTAAATGCCCATGAAGACTTGCAACTTCCTTGGTTCTTGATCTAGTAATAATCAGACAAAAGAATGGTGATTTTACTGTGTCATCTTTTAACTAACTTACGTCTGTCACAAAGCCCATAGACCTCCAGTCCAGACTAGAGGGACACGTTATATTGCTGCCAGAAAACACTTCAGTTGCAGACTGGAGGTAAGATTCCACATCTACTGGGTTTAGGTACTTCTGAACAAACTGCTCTCGGGTCTAATGCACATAATGATCTTCACATCATATTCACCAAAATACGCACATTTTGCCTTACCAAATCAGCAAATTCATTTAGACCAAGTTGAAAAGACTCTTTCTTGTTGTGCTCCTCGATGTGATGGTAATTTTGGAACCAGATGGCATGACGCAGGGACTCTTCGAGATCATCAGTATATGATTTTCCATGCTCTCTTTTCCATGCCTCCCATTCACCATTCAACTGCAGGGTGGCAGAGCACAAAGTTGTAAGTGCCAAAAGGAGAAGGAACTTCATTGCTGGGAGGAAAGCTTAGAAAATTCACTTCCTTACGGTTGACAGATTCTACAGAAGTAGGCTCCCCATTTTATACAGGCCCTCTTGTGCTGATTACAGTAATACCTTGTTAGGTGCATTGACATCAAGAATAGATTACAAAGCTCAGGGCTACACCATGTTATTTTCTTTCAGGAATGTACAAAACATGCACTGTCACTATCAACAATACAAGGTGCTCCAACAAGAAAGAACATGCCTCTTAGTCTTCCACCATGACCTGAGAATTTGTATTTGTTGGATCAACAGTGTATTCACCCAATGATGGGGAGTAATGTAGCGACAAATGTAATACAAAGATGTCATGTCATCAACAATACAAATGAACATGTTCCACACATTGATTTTTCATGGGGATCAAGTCCAGCTACGCATGTCAAAAAGTTAGCTATAGACCTATGGCCAAGCAAGTATATTATACGTACTAAGGATGAGCTATAAGATGCATGAAGTAGTCCTATTGCAATATGGACGACAGCTTCAACATGTAGGAGTGGCTTTCCTTTTTCATGTTTTGGGCATCCCTATGTCCTCCATCAAAATTATTTTTCTACTGGTATTGTTTTATTAACACCTTTTGACTACACATCACTATGATGTGTATGAGGTTGACAATGAACTTTGTTCACCAGTTCAGCTCAGATGGAGTTGGGCAGGCAAGGACACTGAATAATACGCACGCGAACGCGCGCGTGTGTGGGTGGAAAAGCAATTGCGAGACTATCACTTGATGGTCGTGCTCACATCCGTGGACGTTTAGTGAAAAAATAAGCGCTTCAACCGGTTCCTGTGGTAAGGAGATAATGCGTATGAGCGAATGGACTGGGTCGAAGATGATGAAAGTCCCGAGCGGGAGGAACCATGAGATCACAATTACACACAGTGCAGCAAACCTGACACAACCTGAGGGCGCGTATATTGCTAGTGCGTCATTGCATTCTCGCCGAGTTTTAGTACGCGATCACGTGAAGCAACTGCAGATAGCCCAACCCATCAATAAGCGGTGAGCATGCGTATATTAGACGCGATTAACGCGGTACGCTGGCTCACCCCGACCTGATCCGCTTGCTCTGTGTACCTTGGAGGCACAAGAACAAACCACAACGAAGGGCGTGTATCGACTCCCGCATGCTATCTACTACCGTAGCTAGCCCGTGTCAGACTCTCCGCGAGCTACTAGCGGGAGACTGCGGGTCCGTCAATTAGCGGTACCGCGCATGCGCAGTTCGCCGAGGGTTTGCACTTCAGTGCTTTTCATTTATCTTTTAGCAACAACATTCCATCGTTATATACCATCATGCATGAATGATTATTTCATGATATCAATGCCCAAGTTCAATTTTAGATGAGATATCATGTTTTCATGTTATACAGCATTGTATCAGCCTTATTTATAGGCTGGTTGGTATTGAAGGATAATTGCCTGCGTTGTGTATTATTGGGGTTATGTTGTCCTGTCTCCATGTAGCTAAGTCTGATCTTGGACATACGGTGGAGTTCCTAGGTTCACCACGGATTTTTGGTACTGATGCTCATGAGACTCATTAGCTATGTTTCACTGAGACTCTTTCTTCGTTAATAATGATTCTGTCGGGCCATCCATTTTTGCTAACCTAGTTGTCAGAAACACTGTTATAATACTGAACGAGCATTGTGCAAACTAACATGTGGCAGCTATGTTCAACAAAGATTTGACGTTTTCCTTTGTCTCGTGTCGTGGAACCCCTAGCTACCAACTGGGTTGCATAGGTAGCTCAGTTAGTAGAGTGCTCATGCACCTAGACAGCAGAGTGTCATGGGTTCGAGGCAGCACTTCAGAAATGAGTTTTCCTAGGTTTAGTCGACTTGTTTTCTTTACCTTTCTACCTCACCTTGTTGACACATGCTACACGTAATTTGAAGTGGGGCGACTTAATTAACCCGGTCTGCTCCTACTTACCGATATACTGTGCCATAGCACAGTGGTTTGATGTTGTCTTGTGTTGTGTTGAAGATTTGAAACCCTACCAGCTCATATGATAGAGAACTCACCTACGTAAACTTTGAATTCCAGTTGGGCAGCTCTTGTTTTTTCCTTGGATGAAATAAAGAGTTTTCTTGGATGTGGTGTTCTTGGTGCTTATATTATTTCCTTTCTACCCCACTTTGTTGTTGACACATGCAACCTGTAGCTAAGGCACACACATAGAAAGGTGATCCCTAATCTTATCTGTTTAACCTGATTACATACGATATCAGGTGATAGTCACATGATGCCTTCACCACAGCGACATGGTTCTTAGAAACAGTTTAGCACAGCATTTCCACAGTACTATATTATAATCACAGGATCCTCACTTCAGGTATGTAGCGTGTTTATCAACTACTTCACTTTGTGTCCATGTGCTAAGTGGAGCTCTATCCCAATCTCCCCCAACTTTGACACCTCTCTCCTGTGAACTAATCTAAACATGTTCGTTTTTGTTCTGTTAGCTATGTGTTGTAGGCTGCTTGTGTATACCTCCAGCGGACCTTCAGCACAACCACCAGAGCTATCATCCTAGTACCTCTCGCATCTCATCTGCAAAGTCACAATAATAATAGTCATTGTGACTTGCGTGGGCGGATCAAAGGAGCCGCGCATACTTTTATTTCCCGTATGTAGTATGCGTTCATATTGAACGTTTAATATAACTAGCATCAGCATCGTACCCATAGTGTACACAAAAACTGTTCTGTAGAGGCTTTAGAGGATCGTTCTCTACTTTTACTCGTTGTCTATTTACTCGCGTTAGCGCGTGTGTAACCGGTCCTAGTGCGTGATGCCCAGCCCACTAAAATCCGTGGACTAAGGACGTTGATAAGATTGGCCGTTTGCGATTTGAGGTGTTCAGAACACCTTTCGAGCAGTAGAGCTGATAGCTACCTCGGCTGATACTCAGAAAACTCCCCCACAACGCGACAGGGGACGTGAAAATCCCCCATGATTCTGCTGTGAATGCACACATAATCCCCGACTCTCGCGGGCAGATCAGACTGCGTGCCTTGCGGGAAAAAGGGGGCGTTCACACGAAGCAATCAATGTCGCGTGCATCCGTAGTCTAGTCCGCGGAGTTTTGTAGCGGCATCACACACTGAAGAGTGTTTCGCGAGATCGATTAAAGCAAAAAAATAGAGTGAAAGATCGATTTAGAGAAGGATTTTCCCCCACAAAAATCGAGTAAGTGATCGATTTGGAGATCGATTTTTGACCAAGAATCGAGTACGCGATCGATTTGGTGATCGATTTTAACCAAGAATCGAGTAAGTGATCGATTGGAGATCGATTTTTGACAGGCGGAGAGCCCTTACTTTTGGCGGAAACGGCGTTCCATAGGCTACGCAGTCGTATTTCTCTCGCTGGAGGTTAGGCTTGCGATAATTATGCGGGAATAATTTCGAGAATAATAGCAAAGCAAAAAACAGCAAGCATAATCCGAGCATAATAGCAAAGAAAACACACGCGCGCAACCGCGCCTACTTTTAATTATGCACGATGTCGTCGTCCTCCGGGTCGCCCGAGCAGCAGTGCGAGCACGACGTCAAGCCGTGCGAGGATGGGTCAGGCTCTTCTGTACCTCCTACGTCCTGCAGCAGCGTGCGTTACCCGGCGCTATGGCGCTAAAATCAGCGCCAAGCCCAATTTTCAGAGAAAATGAAGCGCCGGGTCCTAGCTCTTGCCTACGCGTCTCTGCGCAATACGGGCACACGCGAACGTGGAGTTACCGGTTGTTAGCTGAACTTTGCAATTGGGTATAGCGCCAAGGCCGTCCCTGGCGCCATGTTTTTGGCCCCAGAGATGTTGCAGGTTGACACCCCTGTTAGTAAAGCAGGCGCCTCTGGCCAGCACCAACAGGAAAAGGAAAGTTGCGGCGCAACAGGGCTTAACATTGCAAGATTATATTATGTTCTCCATCTGTTGTAGGTCATTTTTGATCAGGTTTTTTGAGCATAATTTGGGAATAATAGCAGCAAACCGTAAGAATTGTAGCAACAAAATATGAGCATTAAAGAATAGAATAATACCAAAAAAAAGTGGCATAATTATCTCAAGCCTACTGGAGGTCGACGACTGCTACAAAGTCACAATAAAATACAATGTGCGTCCTATCGTTCTATACATGACTTATGAGAACTCGGGTTGTGGTATCGACGACCACCCCTCGTTCCCATTAAGCACGTATAGAACTCTAAATGCACATTATCTCTTACTAAACACATCTCGGTGCAAATAGCAAGTTGCAGTCTCTTTGTCTTCCACTCTACAATTAAGCCACAACAATTTTTCTAAGTAAGCACTGCTGTTGTGTTCTTCTTTGTTCTGAGTCAACCAATAATCCCTCCACTTCATTAATATTTCATTAGAAGACTACAGCAGAAACAGTTTTCGCAATACTGGGAGTTAGGTTTGAAACCTGAGCCACTTTTCTTGTGACAAGCAGAGGAAACACAATTTATAGCAATACAATTTCCCTCAATTACTGATACAATTGTTGCATTATGTTTGGTCCACATATGACAGATTTTGCAAGAAAGATTATGCAAACCTGAAGATGCTATGTGTATCAGTAAACTGTGACTGAATAAAGCAATGGGCTCAATGGTGGACAATACCCACCTTATCATGTTACCCCACGTCTATAGCTGTGTTCCTGGGTCGTGGCCAAACTTACCCTCAAGCTCAATTAGATAAATGTAGCTACATGACATACGAGCTGCAATAACTGAAGCACAATGAGATAAATGTAGCCCCATGTACGTTGTACGTGCTGCAAGCACATTGCGTCTGAAACTAGAGTCTGCATATCTTGCAAAGAAGAGGCTCCTAAACAGAATAACATTGGCAATATAATTATATGCTGATAGAATCAAAAGCACTGAAGTGCAAACTCTCGGCGCATCTGTGACGCGCGCCCGCGTAAGCAAACGCATGCGCCGTACCACTAATTGGTGTGCTGGGTTTAGTTTTAGCTGTTACTCCATCGTGCATATTGGCTTTTTTCGCTCTCTAGCTTTGCAATGGAGCGTTTTCAGGGAAAACCGTTCGAAATTTCTGACCTTCATTGCCCGTTCAGTAGGTGGTATCCTTTGTGAGACGAACGAACACTCGAGAAGTGAGATGACGAGTAACAGACAGACACACACACAGCAGGCACAGACAGACGAGGCCCAACTACCGCAACCCTCGCTGCGCATGCGCGCCGAGGGTTAATCACCCACACGACCACAGTGCATCCCTGGGTATGACAAAATGGGAAAAACCTATGTATTCACGCACCTCATCAAGTGCTTTTCATGTGCGTGGGGGATCTATGTTGGTTGCTTACCTTACACCTAGGCTTTAGCTACCTCCTTGAAAGTGTGATTATTTTTGCATGGTCATAGCCTGGTGGAGAAAATGACTATAGCTATACACAACTATTCATTTTGTTCGACTCATCTAACATACAAGTAGACTCACTTGCCTACTATTCTACATGGTCGTGATTGACTCATCCTCTATAAAAATGTACAACAATAACGTTTCTATTCACGTGTATATTACTATGGGGTAATTAGCCAAAGTAGCTACTCCACAAGTGTTGTTGCGATTTCTTGCAATCCGCATGTAGCCATCTTCACCCCAAGTTTTCCCCCAACTGTTTAAGAAAGTGATATTAAGAACACCAGTAGAATTATATGGATACCTGTTCTTCAAGATCCAATAATCTTCACCAGCGGATGAGTCATATCCATACCCCACCACTAGCATGGCTTGGTTAAGGTTGGTACTACTGCATCCACGGTTACAGTAGATACCTCCCTTGTAGTACTTGAATGTGTAACTAGCTGCATCAACCATTACACTGAAAGACAATGAAAGAATACATTGACTAAATTCCTTTTACTTATACCTCACTGGTCCAAGTGTGTATACGGCATTGAGTAGATCATTTTCATTTCCATCACTAACGTCAACATAACCTAAACAAGTTGCTACCTTTTGACAAAATTTTGACACACACTGCCAGCCCTGCATGGTCAATAAAGAAATGCTTTGTTAAACACTGCCAGTCCTGTTGGCTCAGCAAACACTTATTAGTGTCAATGACTCACATAGCCAATATAGGGATAAGATGAATTTGTGCAGAGACCGCCTTCTTCGTGCACATACTGGAATGCGTTTTGAACTGTACCACCTTCGCACCCCTTGTTACCATACGTATCAGAGCAGTCCACTAGCTGTTGTGCACTAAGAGAAAGAAGTTGTCCTTTGAGCTTCTTATGAAGGCCTTCCAGGGAACCAGTGGCACTGAAGGCCCACGAACTTTTACACATATTACCCTGGCGCCCCACCTGGGAAATAACGAACCTTTACTACAGGCTGCTGTGAACTACAAACTTACATTGGACACAAGTCCCCTCTCTCTCCAGTCAATCTCCTCAGCTTCATTCCCGTTTCTTGAATATAACGTCAAGGAGCGTTTTAAGGTTGTGGCATCCACAGCGCTCAAATAACTGTTTCCATATTCTTCATCTGTCTGCGAAAAAATATTGTGGTTTCAGTTAGCACTGCCACCAATTCCTTGTCAGTACCATATCTGAAAACTGATTCAAGGCGAGAAAAAACTTGTGCTGTGCAAAGTTGTGCTGAGTAATACAATGGTATGATTGCTTCCATATTTCTTTCCGAGCCTCTTCTTCAGCTATGGTGGCATAGTTCTTATGATGCTCCAGTTTCCACTGTTGCCAGATCTGTTCCAAAGAGCTGCCCCTGCACACCACACAACCACTACACAGCAAGAGTACTATTAGCAAGCACATGCTAGGGTCTCCAGTTATGAAACTTTCTTCTCGTGGCCCACTTCACTGGACTATTAAACTAGGTAGAAAGAGCTTTTCATACTTTGCCACCATTAATGAAATCATTCACGTGCCAACAGTTCTAACATGCTCCTTGGAGTTTTAGTGTATGAGTGAGATGTAAGTGTTTGAAAACAATTCTTTTCAATGAAATGTAGAGCAGGCCTTTGCAACATGCAATTCCTAATATGGAAGCACTCTACATGTAAGTGGAGCACTGCAAAATAATTAAGGGTGTATGCATGATTATATTGGTACTGCCTGGCACACAGTAAATTAGTGGTCGGAAGGAAGGAGAAACTGTAGAACAGAGTTTTATTTCATTATAGGTTTGTATCAGCCTTTCAGATATTTAGTGAGAACACAGATATCCTCTTAGAAACAGCCAATATTATATTATCCTGCTTTGTTTAACAATTAATAATAATATGACACTGAAATTGACTCCTAATACTTTCAAGCAGGTATTTATATTTCCTCTTTGATGACTACATTTCAGTGAAAGGCTGCTAGCAAACACCACCCTTGTATCTAGACATCCTCTTTCAATGCAATTCATGTTTCTGAATGTAGAGATAGCCCTGTGAAATTTTCCTAGGCATTGTCATTCCTTTTGCATTGCTGATAAGACTAGGTCCATGTTGGCAAACAAGGGGCAGCTTTCAACAAGCATGAATGAGCACATCCTTGGCTATAAAACTATCCACACAGCAGTCTATCTCGTTCATACCGAAAACTGGGTAAAGCATAAGTGGTAAAATGAAGATTATTCTTCTAGCTCTCAGCCTAGTTACTGCAGTCATCTCTATGCCTTTGGAGATAGAGTGGAATCAGTGGAAACAGCTTCATGGTAAGATCTACAGTGATGAAGACGAGCCTAAGAACAAGATGGTGTGGCTTGAAAACTACCAGTATATCCAAAAGCATAACAGTGAAGATCACCCCTTCAAATTAGGACTTAATGAATATGCAGATATGGTAAGTTCATCACTAACTTCAATTGTTTTGCTGTTAATACTACTTACATGCTGATTAATGTATCACTGTCCTTTCAGTCTCACGGGGAATTCAAGCAAGTATATTTGCAGCAACAGTTGAAGTATTCTGTTTCTGATGGAGATGTTCAAATTCATACATTGTCAAATGTCTCTAGTCCATCCAGCCTGGATTGGAGATCAAAAGGCTTCGTTTCAAGTGTATGTATTTTCAGTATGCTTGAAAACTGAATATTAATAATAATTTCAATCATTAGATCAAGAACCAAGGAAGATGCAGTTCATCTTGGGCATTCAGTGCAGCTGGTGTTCTGGAAGGTCAAATGTACAAAAAGAATAGGAGACTACAAAGCCTAAGTGAGCAGCAGCTACTTGATTGCTCAGGAGGTTTCGGCAACAAGGGCTGCTATGGTGGAGTACCATCTAATGCATTCAAATATGTTCATGAGAAGGGTGGAATATGCTCCGAATCAAGCTATCCTTACCTTGGATATGTAAGTCAACAGTCAAGTTGATCTTGATACTGCAGTAGCTACTTACCCATTCTTCTAGGTATACTACTGTGCTGACAGCCACTGTTCGAAGGTTACAACAAGTGGATCTAAGTCAACTCAAATCCAAAGTGGCTGCGAAAATTGTCTCCTGGACGCAACTTACTACATTGGACCAATCAGGTGAGTGATGATGGGAATGTGGGTGTAACATACTGCTTACTTTCACTCCAGTGTTGCAGTTGATGCATCAAGTATCTCCTTCCAGTACTACACAAGTGGAATATACTGCGACAATGATTGCAACCATTCAAATCTTAATCATGCTATGTTAGTCGTAGGCTATGGAACAGATTCAACATCTGGGTTGGCCTACTGGATACTAAAAAATAGGTATGTAGCTTTGAATTTTTAAAGCTTGCTTGAAATGTTGCTTTTTTTCTTTGCAGTTGGGGTGAATCATGGGGTTTGAATGGCTACATGCTCATGGCACGAAACCGCAACAACATGTGTGGAGTTGCTACTGCTGCCAGTTATACTACCTCATAGCATGTTTTAGACAACAGACTTTCCATTAGTAGCTATCAACAATAAATCTAGTTGTAATAGTTACAGTTATTTTATATCGACTCAACATTTTTGACGGATAATTATTTGACTGACTAAAAGTTATCAAATGTTACTGTAAAACACAGAATGTTTTAGAGCCACAGCTCTTGCCTTCCTTCTAGCTACTCATTAATTAGTTGGAGACAAAACTAAGGATTTTTGTAGGTAGCCCTCAAACCGAAATTATTTGCCACATTCTTGTAAGCTATGTTGGCTTTTCCTCGAACATTTAAGTCTACTAGAATTAAGTCTACCAAGGAACACTGAATATTATGCCTCGCCTCGTTCATGTGCATACACCAAATACTTTCAGATGCTGCTTAAGATCCCATTTCTTGTATTGACATAGTTAATATACTTAGTTGACCAGGATACCTCTCCAGTCAAATTGCTGAACACCAGAAAAAGCTTCAGTCCCCTTCAGTATTATGTATAACACCGATACTTTATGCTGATAAAGGAATGACACTGTAACCAGGAGGTCAGATGAAGAGCATCACAACGAAGTAACCTGAAAGCATAAGGTTGAAGTGCACTTGATTGAAAGATATGATGACTACGTTTTAAACGCAGCAAAAATACCTAGCTAGTGCAGTTCTCTAGCCCTTTATCAACTGGAAAGTGTGTACACCACTGCCCCGCTAACGGAGTTCTGCCACCTCAGCCAGCATTACAGAGGGGAACACAGTAGAGATCGATTTTGGAGGTATTTGGTATGCTGGCCTCCCAGGCAACACAAGTCACATAAGCTGCACACATTTGAACAAAGACAAACATTATCCATGTTCTGCATTTTTGCCACATACCTGTGCGTATCGTTCAAAAGTCAGCCTATTATAGTTATTTCCTGTCTACTAAGGGTCAAGTTTGCAAATATTTTCAAAGCCCTGAATATGTGTTCTTTTGTCAGTTACTAAGCAGTTGACATTGTATTCACACTTGTATGTGTGATAACAGCTTGTTTTCCATTCATGACCTAATGGCTAGGTTGAATACGCCTGTTTCAGAAAGGCACATAGCTATCTACAAAGAAATAAGCCCTGCTTTGTAAATAAGATGCTTTTGTGTTATTTTAGAACAATATTATGTACTTCTCTTTCACTGTATACAGCGCAGTGTGACACTATAAATGCCACTGAAAATGCCTCTACTGTCACTCATTTTTGTGTCCAGCCTAAAAATGTCCTGCTGGAAGTACTCCATTACTGTAGCATACTTAGCACTTGTATGGTGTGCACCGATGGATTTGGAGTGGAAGAATTGGAAACAGGAGCATGGCAAGTTCTACATGGAGGAATCAGAAGAATTCTATCGAAGAAAAGTCTGGTCAGAAAACTTGATGTTCATCAATGAACATAATCTACAAAACAACACTTTCAAACTGAAACCAAATGGATTTGCAGATATGGTATGCAGATATTACTTGAAGAACAATTGTAATGTATAAAGTCATTGCTCTTTAGACACAGGAGGAATTTAGAAAAGCATATCATAGGGAAATGGACCCAGAGGCTATCTCATGGGGAGCCACTCGTAGGCATGGCAGAATATATGGCTTCACCTACCCTAGTTCTTTGGACTGGAGAAACATGGGATTTGTCTCCGAAGTGAGTAATGTTAAATCATAGCTAGCTTTACTTAATTTACAAGAATATTTTACATCAGTCCAGGCCTTCAACTTAGAAAAGTGTGCCTCATTGGTAAAGGTTGCAGATAAATTGTAAAATAATCCTGATGACCCAACAATGTGTTCAATGGGGCAATCACAGTATTTCAGTTTTATAGACTATTTCTGCTGGGAAGATGTATACAGTTGGTGGGGCTGTTAGTAAAGATAGAAGTGCCCCAGCCTAACGTATGAAGGATGCTAATAATCACATGGCAAAAACATATCACAACTCATAGTTGGGCATTTGTGTAAGTTAAATCACCACATGCAATGTCCAAAATACAGGTGAAAAACCAAGCAGGATGTGCATCCTCATGGGCATTTAGTGCTACTGGAGCATTGGAGGGTCAGTACTACAGAGCTACACGTAAACTGGAGAGCTTTAGCGAACAACAGCTGTTGGATTGCTCAGAAGGCTATGGAAACCAAGGATGTGAAGGAGGACTCAGCACTAACTCATTCAGATATGTACAACACCAGGGAGGGATATGCACTGAGGGAAACTACCCTTACTTGGGATACGTGAGTTGAAGTGGAAAAGGGTATGAGTATGTTTCCTCTTTGTTCGACTTGTAGGCGTGGTTCTGTGCTGACCGCTACTGCCCCACTATTGGTACATGTTCAGGATTTGTTGAGATTCTCTCTGGCAGTGAGGCAGATTTGTTAGATGCTACCGCAAACGAAGGCCCCATTAGGTAACTAATTACATGTGTGTGAAAGAAAGATTTACTTACAATTTCATTTCTTTAGTGTGGTTGTGGACTCTTCAGACATCACATTTCAGTACTACAGTAGTGGAATTTACAGCAGCAGTAAATGTAGCAAGCGTAAGCCAAACCATGCAATGTTGGTTGTAGGATATGGATCTGAAGAAGGAATTGATTACTGGATACTTAAAAACAGGTATTGAACATGGGTTTCCTTATTAGTAAAATGTATACAAATGTGACTGTTTTCAGTTGGGGTGAAGGATGGGGCAACAGTGGTTACATGAAGATGGGCAGGAATCAAAACAACACTTGTGGCATTGCTACTGCTGCAAGCTACCCTATAGTTTACAGACACTAGCATAGTTAGGTATGCCTTGTATTCCATCTTATCAAGGTTATTGCTTCTGGATGAAGTGTACCTGACTAGTGTGTGTCTACTTTATCATAACCTTATTGTACTAGTATACACAGCAACTTGTTTCAATGCAGAGGAGGGTAATCAATCGCTTCAGCCTTCATGCGTTCACTTCTGCGTATGTACTTAAGTACACACACAGTGTAACGTACTCGTTTAATGTACATCCCATAGAGGCTCCAATAAAATGTGATGTCTCTGCAACCAAGTATGTAACCGAGTATCAAACTTACCATTTAGCAATACTTCAAGAATGAGTCCACATAGTTTCCTCTCCACATCTTCCTGTACAAAAAAGAACAACAACAACAAAAATCTTCACTTCATTTCATTACGAGCGCTTTACTAAGGGAGCTTTATAGCCCAGGCAACCTGCTGAACTTGAGTAGTAACAAACGGTACTAGGTAATTGCGAAATTATGAAGCAATTTGTACACTGGCATGTGGGCTGTGACTGAGGTATAATTATTAGAGCATATAGGGATGGCTCAGGTCGGAAATCTCACGTGATCCGCGTATATACAATACGCCAAAAAAACTTGGCGAGAATGACTTGCTATGTCTTCAAAACACACGAGCAATAGTCCGAGGTTGTTGCCTTCAAAATGGTGGAAACAAGAGGAATAACTAATGTATTCAAAATGGCTTGAAGCACCAAAAAGGAAGAAACAAGGGGTCATTACAGCACAAAGCTACATATTTTGTTCTACTGTTTAAAAGTATAATTGTTTATATTGCTTGAGGCCATCCCTATATCCCCTTCATTTTGAAGAATGATTTTTCCACTGGTCACAACTATTATTGGCCACCATCGTAGCAGTAGTGGGTGTGCAGAAAGTTTGTATCTATAGCACACCTTCTATAATGCAGAGAGAACTACAAAAGCGTGTACGCCCTTACACAGATAGCTGCGATGGCAACTGGGGGAGCTGGCATTCTATAACACTGAAGTGCAAACCCTCGGCACACTGCGCATGCGCGGTACCGCTATTGACAGCTTGGGCCGAGTCTCACCGCTGGTATGTAGCTCGCGGAGACTAGAGTCTGACAGCCTTCAAGTTAACTCCAACGTCATCCGTATCCGCATCCGCGGCAATTTTCCCCATATACCCGTACTAATTAGCCCGTATAAGGTAGATGTTGGTATTTTGAGCCACTTAAACTTTCTTCTTAATTTTTCCTACAAATACTGGTGAATTAAAGTGAAATTTATGTTACATGACTATCAAGACATGGCGATTCTAAAAATCAAATCGGTTCCAGAATATATTCATAGTAGGTAGCTAATGCAAAATATTTGCTTTATAACCCTCTAAAAGCAGCAATTATGAGTCAGTGATGGTATTATGAGTCGACTTAAAACGTATTCTTTGATGAAGCAAACAGTTGCCCAGTCGTGTTTCACAATAATTACTTAGATATACAAAAAAGCAAAAAAACCACAAATTAATTATAATTTGACCAAAACGTTCATTTAAAACCTCCCCCAAATTAAACCCTTTGAGTCAGTGATGCAATCATTGTGACCTCTTGACTTTTGGCTATTTTGTCGGAATGTAACCCGCAGCACGTGTTAAAATGTGGCGACGATTTGCTGGGCTAACGTCCCGACGGTGGGAAGCAGGTACACAGTGTTTGGCAGCTTTTTGGAATGTTTACCCATAATACCCCCTGACTCATAATACCAACACTTACCTTATACCTGCCCGTTAGATTAGCAACGATTGTGCGTGGGCGTATGTTTCAGATTTTCAATGGCACAGCAAAAACGCTGGTGATTGATGGTGAATTTATCGAATTTTTCCGACCTTGTTTTCCAAACTTATTAGCCTATTCATATTCCTCCTCAATACATTCTCTATGGGAGAGAAAACTACATATTCCTAAAGACCTCATACGCACCTTCAGTCGTCCACGCGAGAATTTGCTCATACGCGATTTCACGATTTTAGTGCCATCTTCTCTTAACCGATATCTCCTTACCGGAACCAGTTAAAGCGCTGATTTTTTCACTGAACGTCCCAGATTCGTTGGAGGTGTGCACGAATACAAAGCCATCGTTTCTTTGTTGTCGCACGTACAGCAGAGACACTGAACGACGCCATTTACTGCTAACTCGGCATTCAGCAGTTCAGGGGCGTTTCCAGCTGATGCGCGCGCGTACCCGTGCGAGCGCAGCGTCGTGCGGCCTCGAGCTCGGCCGTAATCCCTCGCTCAGCGAGACTGCGATTTGCTGTTAATTTGCTTGGGGAGAAACTTTATGTATTGCTAGACACAATGGGTGTCTAGCTAGCTAAAATAATGTTGAGCCTTTGTGCTGATTTGTCTGAGCTTTAATGGAAAACAAGTGAAAAAACAAATGGGGATATAATAGGGATGGGTCAAAACATGAAAAGGTAGGAAACAAGGGGTCATTTTACAGCTAAGACACACAAAGCTACATGACACCATCCATATATCTTTCCATACCCAATTTATATGCCAAAGATATAGGGATGGTGTCATGTAGCTTTTTGTGTCTTAGCTGTAAAATGACACCTTGTTTCCTACTTTTTCATGTTTTGAGCCATCCCTATATCCCCCTTCATTTTGAAGAAATGATTTTTCCACTTGTATGCTTTAGTATTTGTGTGATACGTAGCCTATGAAACACATGAGTTTTGTTTCAGAACAGTATTGTCACAGCAAGTCACTGCAACAAGTCATTTGGTTGCCATACATTTACTCTCAGAGGCTCTAAAAATCTGCTCAAAGTCCACTACCCAAACACTGAGGGGATCTTTCTTCTGTGCTTCTTGTCCTTTTTGGATGGTCACTTGCTAATGCGTGTGTGAATGTTGACAGCATGCAAGTCTTTTCATGTTCAATTTTCAAATTGACTCAGTGCTTTCGTTAGAATTGGGTTCAGTGAATGCGACCTGTAGTCTTTGTTTCAGGGGTGTTATCCATTGTACATTTACATTATCACCTGACAAGTGTATGATTGTAGATGCGTGAAGCTAACGTGCCAAAGCAAACACAGCAAAATATACAAGGTCACATGGAAGGAGACAAAAGCTATAGCTAGCTCCACTGCTCTTGATGATCAACTCATTGATTTCATGAGATTGGATGACCTGAGAGCGTGCAATAATCTGGTTGGCTCTTCATTTAAGACTATGTTTTGACTCAGGAAATCTGCTATATAGTCAGTATTTTCCATTGTTCTTATGGCGTACTATGCACTGGGTAACCCAAAACAAATGTGCCTCAAAACTAATCCTAAAGAAAGTTACAAGGAACAATTTGCGTCTTTGCACTTCTAGTGCAAGTGATTCGTATTTGTGTGCAAAAAGTATCTAGTATCTGCATGTCTCACTATCTGACATTAAGGTGTGTAAAGAATTATATACCATGCTTAGCTCTACAGAGCACTGGTTGGTACTGCAATGTAGTGCATTAAGTTTGAAATGGCACAAAAATCACCGTGTTTTCTTCATTTTTAATAACAAGATGGTCATCGAGGATTTAAACACCAACACCACAACAAAAAGAAATAGATTTAGATCAATAAGATATACTGGATGCAAAACAGTCTAAGTGTTACAAAAATTCTACTTGTAGCTAGTGCTGTGAAATTATATCTGCTCTAGTAGAGGGTATGAAGCAGCTGTAGCAATGCCACAGAGGTTGTTGTTGTCTCGAGACAAGTACATGTACCCATCCATTCCCCAGTCACTACCCCAACTGAAAAGAAATGTAGCAAGTTTTGGTTTGGTTTTGTAGAGAAATTGGAAATAAACTAACCTGTTTTTGAGGATCCAGTATTTGAATCCCGTGTCTGCATCTGTTCCATATCCAACAAGAAGCATTGCATGATTAAGGGAATTGGTTCTACAGTTACTGTCATCATAGATGCCACCGGAATAGAATTGAAATGTCAAAGGTGCTGCATCAACAACAACACTGAAAGGAAAATGTTTGCAACATATGTGACACACAATCACATGTTCACACCCCTTGGCACAGTACCTTATTGGCCCAACATCAGTAACCGCTGCCATTAGATCCTGTTCACTCCCTGTCTCCACTATTGCAAATCCTGTGCATGTGAATGCTTTAGGACAGAATTTCTCAGCACAGTACCAGGTCTAGAAAGAATAATACGTACAACTAAACTTGCTTGGGCTGCTGCACTGTGCTATTGAGTACTTACATAGCCTAGGTATGGGTATTTGGAGACAGTACAGACCCCTGATGCCCCCTCTATGTATCTGTAGGCCCAAGTAGGAATCCCTCCATGACAACCACGATTGCCCCAAGATGAGGAGCAATCAAGCAGCTGCTGAATACTTATTTCCATCAAATCCCCCGTCATTACAAAGTATTGCCCATCTATGGCCCCAGCAGCACTAAATGCCCAGGAAGATTGGCAGTATCCTTGATCAATAACCTAAGATAAAAGGCAGCATGATCATGATCATAATTATCAAACACACAATATTACCTCCGGTGTAAATCCTTCATTCCTCCAGTCTAAGTACACACATTCATCGTCACACTGACTGCTATTTCTGTATACAAAGCTAGCACCATCTTTCAACAAAGAAAGGTCGATACTACTTAGTCTATTTGCAAAGTCTTCTGGGGACTGAAAACAAATAACTGAACCACCGAAACATAATGCAAACACTTACCGTGTCTGAGAAATGATTCATGGCTAACATGTAGCTATGTTGTCCTTGGTTGAAGTCCTCAACGAATTTCGTGTTCCTTGCCCAAGTTACCTTTCTTTCAAACTCCTCTTTTCCATTCAAGTAAGCCTTTCCATGTCGTTCTTTCCACAAATCCCACTCAGTTTCAATTGGCACTGCACTACAAGCAGATAATGCTACTAGGGCCACAACAATGCTAGCCAGCTCCATTTTCCAACTCCTCTTTGCAAGAATGAGAGAGACTAACTAGAAATGTTAGTGTTATATGCCTCTCAGCAGAAACATCCGTGCTGCACAATAGATGTTAGCACACTTCCTTTGAATGTGGTACTGCTGTAGCAAAACCAAGAGGATACTTGAATGGAATGTGTAAATTTAGTTCAGCGAGCAGTAGAGGATAATCTAAGGACCAACTGCAAACACTGGACCTCATGTTAATCAGCTACACCTCTTGAAGTAGTGAGGAGCTTTTACAACAGCTTTCCACAACTGTGGTGCTATATAGCCAGAATGAGCCAACTATGATCTCGACAACACACATGAATGTATCCAACCTTACTGCCATTACACTGAGTAGACACAATGTGTTCTCAATAAAAAGGGTAAAGGTATGATCTGCAATTATGTTCAGTGATAATTGTAATTATTACCAGAGGGACTTTGCAAATCCTCTCTATAGGGCAGAAGCATGTTCATGCAGCAGTGTTACTGAAGTGATACTTATACCATTAAGGGGAGATCCCAACCTAAACTGGTCATTTCAGACGACAACTGCAGCGCCACCTTTTTTCCAAGGGCAGCGATATCTCGACTTGTGTGTGCTCTGCAACTTAGAACCCACTTAGCTAATCAGCTGAGGAATGCAATGACAATGAATTTTTACAAGGAGTCCAGCCGTAAAACTTTGGCCATATTTTTAACCCTAGAAGATCGACGGTTTAGTGGACATCTACTATGAGTGCGCCAATGACCACACCCCTTAGGTTTTGTAGAAGTCCATAAGGACGAAATCTCACCCCATGCTCAATATTTTCTTTTAAAGGTAGTATGAATAAGATATTTTTTTTAAATGACCCGTTGTGGGTGGGAGCCCCCAGTGCATTATGAAACATTAATTACCTGCAAAACATTTTGCAGCATTCTATAATGTTTTGCCTACACTACTAAGCCAAAGCAGTGGCCCATTCCAGAGGAATTCGATACTTCACTCTCCTCTCTCCCGGCAGACATCCCTGTCACCCAATGTGGTTTCACCCTCCTTAGCTGCCCCATTGCCCCTCTTTCTTACTGCAAAGAGGAAGTTAAAGAGTTCTGCTTGGGTTAGATTTAGGCAACTCTCAGGTGCCTCCGCTCATATCTCTCGTTCCCAAAGGTTTCTTTTATTCTTCGCATCTGCCAAGCAGTCAAATTGGCCACATGCATGGCGGAGAAGTTGGACAATGCTCAATGTGTCTCTTCCAACAGCGTTAGCTACGGGTCTCAATCTTCGAAGTGCTTGAAGTACCTCAATAAAATAAACCTATGGGAGGCCAGCCCCCTCTAAAAGACTACCTTACTGCTTAAAAGCATGTAATGCTGTCCTAGTATACTAAGATGCAGATATCTCGTTAGCAAGTTTACGAAAAGAGCCTGGGGCTATTTGTCATTGTGTAAAATCAAATTTAATGGGTCATGGGGCATACAAATTACATGAGTGTATGAATTACCGTAATGATAAGCACTTTAACCAACAAAATAATGCATTTTTTGTTGTTTACAAACATGTATTGTTTTGTTTTTGACACTGGGCAATGACACTATGACATTGACGTAGATTGTAACACATCCCCATGCATCATAATGTATTGCCTTGGCCGTTTGTTTGTCTGAAGTATATAAACATAAAACAGGCTTAGGGAATATCTACAACATTTTACTTATTTGAGCTATGGGTGAAGAAGAAGAATTAAGCAAAAGAAAAAAACTTCCTATCATAGCCCCTATGATGCTTGGTAGCACCTTGCCTATCCCTCAATACTACTTTATTGATAACAATAATTATGATGATGCCGTGCATAAGACATTTTCTTCACTGCTAACAGTAGCACACGCAGGGGTCGGCACGACGTTATCTTTCCCTCTCTGCGACGACGAAGGGCATCATCTCTGGACTGATTCACGAGTGCGAGAGTACTGAGCTACACACACGCGTATTCACTATGACAGGCAGGCCGCATGTGAAATCCTTTCGGAGTGCGTAATCCGGCCTGGAGCATGCGCAGTTGGACGACGTATGGTAGTCGTAGAGATATGACGAAAATTACACGCCGTTCGTTGGCTCGCTCCCGCTCGCCAATAGTACGTCGTGTAATTGCGCATGGGCGGCTTCGTTACGCGCTTCGTTTATCCGAAAATCATATCCAAATATTTTTTACGCATTTTCACACACGCTGCCTCGCGAAATACACGGATCGATCTCCTCCATTAGACGGCATGCGCTGCAACCTTCGGTGCAACCTCTTCCCAATCTTCATGGTTCCAAGGTGCAACTTGCAAATACGCCTAGGATTGCTCGTGCTGCATGCCAGCTGCCTGGTGGACCACGACTGCCGAGCTGAAAGCGTACGTTCTGCTCACCTGCTCACCGTTCTGCCAATGTAGATTTGTCTTGCTTCACGAAAGGAAAGCTGTGCGCTGACGGCAACGTTATGCAGCCCCCAAGTTGGGTCGCTCCGCTCGCCAACGATGTTCAACATTTCCAAGAGCTAGCTAGGACTGTTTCAACTTAGAGACGTCACGGAACCATTACGTAATCGTAAATTTCCGTAGCACGGCCCCCTATGGTTATTTTCGCGGCGCTTTGCGCACCGAGGATTAGTGGGCGGGGTTTTTACGCAAAACCACGTTGACCCTTGGGGAAGACGCTACAAGTAGATACGTTTTTCGTGGCCCATGGTCGCTTCTCGACAGCAGCGTAGGCAGCAGAATGAACAGCTATCAAGCCTGAAAGTTGTCTTCTACCGGAGCGCCAGAAATTTTGAGAGTAGAAGTCTGATTGAAAAGGCAGAAGGGAAAAGCGTTAGACGACCGGTTTGTATACTTTATGCGACGGCAAGCATCCTCGCGAAGGCGGTATTCTTGGTCATAATCTGGCCATATATTGGTGTGTACGTGTATAATGACTTCCTATACAAAAAAACAGTGGGATGCTACCGCTTTATCCCCCTGTCCTTCCACCTTGTCCCGTTGTGCTCTAGGAACAGTCAGAGCCGTCTCTCCAAGAAGAACAATGTCATGAGCATTCTTCAAGTAGGTTGTGTACAGTTTAACAGGGGCGTAGGAAAGTGTTTTGCATTGGGGGGGGCCACAAAAGGAAGACATGGGCCTGGCCGGCGCGGCTCGCCCGTCGGCGCGCAACGCGTTAATACCCTCGCGGAGCCACGCCTCCCGCCCGCGAGGCTACGTGTACGGACGTACGTGTGTGTACTTATAATTATACGTAGAACAAAGCGGTCGCTGGTGGCGCGGCAGCGTTCGCCCTCAGGCATGGACGATAAGGTACGAACGAACAACAGAAAAGGGGGGCCCTGGCCCGCGTAGCCCCCCCTTTTCCTACGCCCCTGAGTTAACTGACTCATCTCTATCTTCCACAACCTGTATTCTCCAGATTCCTTTTTGCAGCTGACTTTCAAACTACTCTTAGTCTTCACCTCCAGCTTTGTGTAGTATGTTTGTTTATAATATGTGTGCTCTACGTCTCTGTCTAGTACCGGACAGTGTATGGTGGTACTTTTTTCCTTTGTCGACACACATCGATATTGCACAGTATGTGGTACTTCATTCCTTCATCGACAAACATCCATGCTGAGTTCAAGGAGTGTAGGTTTGCTGCTGAACTTCATGTTCAGCGTCTTCTGAATTAATAGTCACAGAATTTAGAATTTATATTGCAAGTTGTTCTGTTATACCCAATGTTTCACTTTACACTTTGTATCATGGCCGACATGGGCTCACGTCATGGTTTCTGTAGCTATCCATGTCAATGACTCTTTTGAAATCACTTACAGTGTTTCTTTCTATCTCCTCTTGAGCCAGAAGCGTAACAAAGCGCTGGGCAGGAGGTACCAGGCTCTTCCTAACGGTATTCATGCCATAGTACAAACGCTCCAGTAGCCCCCGATGTAGCGTGCTTGCCGAGTTCTGACAGGCTTATTCAACTTCCTACAAGACAGAAGCACTTCTCCAGGCATGTTTCTGACTTATAAAAAATGCCTCGCCGGTGGTGCAGGGCTACGAACATGAACCTGTTTACTTGTGTATACGCTTGTACTTCCGATGCGCAGTACAAAACGTTGCAGGTATCCACAAGGGTTATACTCTGTATATGGGCGAAGGAAGCGCTTTGGCTGTCGCTTCTTTCCCAGTAGAGGCGGCAGCGTTGACTCGTGCAGGTTTCATGTAGAGAGAGCGGTTACGCACTAGGCCTAGGCGCGATGATTGCGATCAGTGAGCTAGCGGTTTACACGTGCGCATGCGCGAGTTAAATGGGTGTGGCCCGGCCAGGCTATAATTAGCTATGCCGCTAGCTTTCGACGAGGCTGACGGGGCGGAGGCACAGCAATTCTCACGATGGAGCAGTTCTCTAGAGTTCTACCGCTAGTCGTGTGGCTGTTATTGCTTGTGGCTGTGGAAGCTGACGTCTGTCCTGGTAGCCCTGAAGCTGAAGGGATTTCAGACGACGTAATCCGAGCAGTTTGCTCCTACTTTGTATACTCTCCCCAGGCGACATCTTTTAGGAATGAGACAAGGCACCGTCACGGCGTATTCGACGGTGTTGACAGTTAGTTTGCCGCTTGCGCATTAAGTTTCTGACTTAGCTATTTATTTATATGCAGAAAATAACCATGTTGCATTGGCACAATTTTTTCATCCGATTGTGACTATGATGAAGTGTTCGTCATCCTGTAAAGATGTTGCTCGGGAGAATGTAAAGTGGTGTGTAAGGATTGCTGATGCAAATAGGACCATTGAAACATGCATATCTGTTGATGATGATGAGGAATTACTTGTTGAGAGCACTTGTGATGCTCGTAGTCTTGGTCTGGACGCTTACATCACCCTACCAACTGTAAGTTACCTCCAACTGATGCTTTACCTAGAAAGACAGATGAGATAAAATTCAGCCCCAAGGCTACTCAAAAAACTAAACGCCTATGGTATTTATCTTTCTTATTAGACTAACGAGTGTGGTTCTTGGGGTGCTGGTTGTCTTGGACTTGTTAACCTCAACTGGTTTATGAAAGATGCCTACTTCACATGCATTTCTAAGACTGACAACTGCAGTAATGTTAACTTTACTCAAATTGTAACAGTGCGTAAGTATATATTACATTACCATTTGTGCGTGCGTCAACTACTTATACTAATCTGTTTACAGCTGGAAACAATAAACCACCAACAATAAGTGAAATTACCGCCTCTCCTCTGAAGGTTAAACCTAATGGACAGGTTATAATCCGTGCTGAAATTTTATCTGACAGTACTACTACTTCTGTTTCTTGGCGTCATGGTAATACCACCTATGTTGAATACCTTCAAGAGGATCCTATTTGTGATTCGGCACGAGAAGTAAGCTATAAGGAAAAGGGGGGTAAGGAACAAATTAAGCATTACGTACAATGCCGTGTGATATAAGATTAGAGGATATCCATCTCAATCACACATGCCCAATGTACTTATAATGACCCACACACTATAAAATAGCCTACCCATAGCCTACCCATCTCCCTTCTTTTTTGTCACGTGAATACATGGTTGAGCACATGCGTATATCCAGATAAATATTCTTCACTGCAAACCTCACTGAAATGATTTGCCGAGTGAAAGACATATTTATTGCCTCAATCTCTGCACTTTATGCTTTTTAGGTAGGTCGCTTCAGTGTAAAGTCAAAGCAGTACTAGTGTTATACAACCGCCTACTTGTGGCAAAAATGTGTTTCTAGTATTATCTTTCCACTTCAGGGTGAATGTGGTAATCATACCCATCCTGATGGTGACAAACTAAGAAGCCAACGTGTTCGTTTCTATGTGATGTCACGTAAACTCAACTCAGAGTGTGTTGGATCATCTGTTTACAGTTTGGAGACGTATCTGATAGTTGATAATGCTACGGAGGCCGATGCTGGGGTGTATGTGGTTAATGTAAAGAATATTGTGCAGAGTGTCTCTTTGGATGATCAAGTCAATGTTACTGTTGGTAAGAGCATACACTGATCATTACACTACTATTATATTTACCTTTGCAGTGTGTGATGATGCTCCACTTTACATTGCTAAATGTTCAAATTATACCATTGCGATGCAAAAGGGCAGCAATACTAAATGGCACTGTACTTTTATTGCTCCTGTTGGTTTGGAAATAGCGGTGTTTCAAAACAAAAAATCTGTGAAAGTGGAACACTCTGATCTAGATGGGAAAGAAAGTCTAGATAGTTTCTGTACTTGCAAAGAGCCTACTGTCATTTACGATGTGGAGGAGGTTGAGGAAGTGTGCTACAGCAAGTACACTGTGAATGTAATTGTGTGTGCAGTCTCAGAAGAGGTGGTGGGGAACTACTCCGTGTGGGGTCAGGAGAAAGAAGTTGAACAGAGTAGTGTTTTTGTCAAGATTCCCTCTACAGCTCTGGCCCATTCATCAGGTAACATGATTTTGAAGAAGTGTATAATACCTTCACTTTATACTTTTTTCGTCTCCCAGGTAAAACGGGGACATACATTTCACCTGCTGCTTATGCTGTTCCCGTCGTGGTGCTGATTGTTGCTCTTGGTGGCATATTTGTTGTCCTGGTGGTGCTCATCAGAATGAAGAAGAGGAGAAGACGCCAGGGGCATCTCTCTGAATTGCAGAGTCCTGATCCCATAATGTCTCCAGAGGCAGCGTTCTACAAGAAGAGTGGACAGTTTTCCCCCATCTCCCTGTTATCGCCTCAGTCCACCAGTGCTGCTTTCAGTGATCCCCTAGAGTTCCCACGCAACCAGCTCTATGTTTACACTAAGAAGGTGCTAGGTGAGTGAGGGAAACCCATGTTTCCTGTTTTGAACACCTTTACAATAAGTCCCAATTGGGCTAATTGAGTGAACAATGTCAGCCCAATCAAGATAGAGTAGTAAGCAGGAAGCGGCTTTGATGAGATTATTCATTGCATTCTTCAGTTGCAACATTTATGTCTGGCAATATTTCCCCTCATGTAGGTGAGGGATCTTTTGGCCGTGTACTGCAGGCCAAAGCAGAAGGTATCGTTCCAGGGATGCCAGAGAGGAATATTGTGGCCATTAAAACAACTAAAGGTATATTCACTTTTAGCATTACCTTCTTTGCTCTTACTCTATAACTATGCTGTCTGGTTTGATGTCGTCTGCATTACTAGCTATTGTTGACTCTTATGGTATTTCAGACAATGCAACCAGTGTTGAGATAGAGGAGCTACTGGGAGAACTGGACCTGATGAGGAACATGACACCTCATGAGAACATCCTTAACCTCCTCGGACAGTGTACTACACCAGGTATGTATTGACGGTCAACTGATATCCCTGGCAAGATGCTGTGTGTCACCAATAACATCATAGTGGGCTGTGATTTCAAGCTTCGTTGAACCATGTGGCTAACTAGGGGATGATAGACAATGAGCCTAAGTGTGAAGTGTACTCTCATATGATTAGAAACCTTTCCAGTGTGTCTGGGTCATGAAGTCATAGTACATGTTGTCTGTCCAGGAGGCCCTGTGTGTCTAATTGTGGAGTACGCAAAGTATGGCAACCTCCGTGACTTCCTGCGGCAGTGTGAAGAAGTAGTGCTCTCACTCAACCACAAGCCGCACATTCCAAGGCACAGGTGTTTCACTAATGAATGATCTTATGTGTGTAGTAGGGTGTCCAGTAAAGAAGACTGTAGAGTGTGTTCACAAAGGAAGTAATAGTGGCTCCACCAGCTGTAGTAAAGGCCACAAGGGCTGTTTTCACTCCAATAAGCACTCCATGGTTGTATATACTTGTTGTAGAACACTGATATTATATATTTGTGCACTGTAGCCATGGTATCATTACTTCTTCCTGTCACAGCCTTTTTGTATGTATATACATATTTGTACACATAAAGCTTAGGGTATTTGCCAGATTATAAATTGTTATTGAGTTAGAGCCCCTTTTAAAGAGTAGTGCGGATGGACATTCCTGCTTGTGTAACATTATATCTGTGCATGTACACAAACATACACATGCACACACACACACACAGATCTCGCACGGGGACATTTTCTTCATCCAGTGCTGGTTCGTTTCAGCCACTGATAACACGACAGGATTCGTCTGTGTTCACACCTGGGAGTGTGCAGCATCAGTTTGTGTTCCCATTTCCCTCTCCTCCATCTCACAAAATGAGCACTGGCAGCTCTAGCAGCACTACAGAGAGCAAGGCTGCTGCTCATCATCCTAGCACAGCAGTACCTCTTGCACACTCTGTGGCTCCAATAGGCCACGATTACATCAACTCAAAGGGCCTTGTTTACATGGAGGACGTGCACAACTTTGCCCTCCAAATTGCATGTGGACTTCAGCACCTTGCTAGCATGGAGGTATGTGTTTATATATCAGTAGGTTTTGGATCAAATTTCTTGATCTTACATTTCACAGATAGTGCACTGTGACCTGGCAGCTAGAAATGTGCTGATAGCTGAAGGGTTTGTTTTGAAGATTGCTGACTTTGGTCTCGCCAGAGACATCAGTGGGAGAGAAATGTACAAGAAGAATCCAAGGGTAAAATGTATTTTATCTATCAAGTGTATACTATTATAGTCATTCCTTTTATTATAATGCAGGGTAAAATACCAGTTAAGTGGACTGCCCCAGAAGCACTTGAGAACAGAATATTTACCACCAAGAGTGACGTGTAAGTAGCCACCTATCTCTGTATAATTACATCTGTGCACAAACTGCATGCCTTATTTGGCGAGTGTGCTTCACACATAGAATTACATGTGACATTCTTACTTACTACAGGTGGTCATTTGGTGTGGTACTTTGGGAGCTCTTTACCTATGGTGAGTCTGCATCTTATTTCGTGCACAGGACATACAGTACACGCCTAAAGAAGTTCCCCATAGTACGGTGATACCGTAGCAAAATTTTCTACGGTGCTTCTACGGCGAATCTACGGTCGACCGTAGAGCACCGTAGCTGCGGTACGCTGCGAGGGTGTGGCCCACCGTAGTAAAGTAAACCGTAGCAAGCAACGAGCGTTGTTTCTAAAGCTGAGCGTAAGCTAGCGTTGTAGCGCAGTAGTGTCTAGCATTGCTACTGCTGCTTGCTATCGCTTCTCGCTCTCCTTTGCACCCGCTGAGCGCTCTGACGCGACATGCGCGCGTGCGACACGCGTATCACTAAGTACAGTAGTACTTAGACTACGGTAACACGCAATTGACCAATCAGATTGCGAGTTTAGCGGTTACTATTTTTGTTAGTGACCTCTTCCATTACCTAGGAGCCCTTAGTAGCGCCCTCGCTACGCTCGGGACGCCGACAGCTCAGGGCTCCTCGGCTCACTAAATCGCGTAGTTTCCCAAGGCGACGCGTCTAACCGGCTTAGACTACATCGCAAGTCCGTCCCGCTGCAGTGTCCGTTGTAGGCGTTGCTGCCCTTCGGGATCCCGCCGGCCGGCCGTTTGTGCGCGTTTTTCCCTGTACGCTTTCTCTAGCGTCTTCCTAGCTCTCTAGTAGTCATGCGCTGCTGCTAGAAGAGCCTGTTCCTGGTTTCTTCGTGGGAAGAACCGCTCCAGAAGCTCGGTTCACAGTCCGCGCGCGTGGCGTCTTTTCGAATTGAAGGCGTGGTTGCCGGGGCTACGAATAGTTACCGCGGAAGAGGTCACTAACAAAAATAGTAACCGCTAAACTCGCAATCTGATTGGTCAATTGCGTGTTACCGTAGTCTACTACCAGGGCCCCGAGGCTCACTAAATCACGTAGTTCCCAAGGCGATGCATCTAACCAACTTAGACTACAGCGCTAGCAACGCACAACAACGCTGGGGTCGGAGCTTTTTGCTGAGGACGAACTGGAAGCCAGTTCGAGCAGGCGTACAAGTAATGGAATTTTGTAAGAATATAGATATCCATCACCCGAAGAGACTGGTCATACTTATTTCTTTGTAAACAACATTGTTTACTGTAGACAACAACAAATAGCCCCAGGCTATTGTTGCCTAGGTGAAGTAACATTCACCATTACAATACTCAGAACTTAGAATACACTACTGAGTAACCAACACCCTTATAGAGTCCAAGTGGAGTTTAATAAGTATAAATGTTACTAAAAACAACAGGGACATGGTGAAAGAATGCTTGCTTTTAGTAACCTTTAGCCCCTATAAGAGTTGCACACCAGGCAACAATAATAATAGGGATTGAGTGATGGGGTTGGGGATGCCAGCGTACTCAAATCTGTTCATGTATCCCATCTATCTTGTCCCCCTTTCTTTCTATACCATCCCTATATGCCTCTTTTTTTAAAGTCGCAGGATTTTAAATTTACTTGTCAACATGGCAAGCGCAGCCCATCGATCGCCTCGCCATCAGCACTGTCGCTGTGTGACGCCGTATGGATCTCCTGGCCATACAGCTAGCTAAAGCTGCATGGGGCAACGCTGCTTGGTAGAGGACTGTATCCGGGTCTTAGTAAACTACGGCGTACTGCGCCGTAGCAGGTCTACAGCTTCCACCGTAGTATGGCATACCAGCAGCGTAGCAAAACCGTAGTTCTTACTACAGTGTGACCGTACTACGATACAGTAGTGGGAACTTTTTTTGGTGTGTACTGTACACACCAAATCTGTAGCTGATTTTTAAAACCTGTCTTCCCACTTTTTGTAGTTAGTTTGTCGCACAGATTAGACTAGCCTAGAGCTCATAGTTATAAACCATATATCCAGCTTTTCTTATTGAAAAAGGACCCTTCAAAGAGTAGAAATCTAGCCAGAGAAGGTATATAAACCTTGATGTCCAAATGTGACCCTCTTTTGTCGGGGAAAGCATAACTGATAGACTATGAGATGGCATCAGCATAGCTAGGGACAATTAGTATACAAAACCGGATTTCTTGATGATCTTCTGGGTGTGAGATCAGTTTTCTGAATGTGTTGGTTATCTTGAAATAGGTAGATCTATTATACTAATATTAAATTCAGCAAGAGTCCTTTTATGCACTCGGATGTTCCTTTCGCATAAGGAATGGTTAGTATTGTTGTTAGAGTCCCATCTTTAGTGTTACTGTGGAGGGTTGGTGGAAAAATATCATCGGTTTGCAAACATTGGAAATCAAAGTTTTCCTATTCCTTTGGTGCAAGCAAGAGTACAGGTCTTGTAGTATGTCCAGAGAATAAAGGAGCCCTATTACCTCCAATAAGGAGGACCTCTTAATACTGCACTTCGATGCCATCGAAGTGTCAACTACTCCATTATTGAAAGCAGAAGTTTTGCTGCATTGGTGAATACTAAATTATTACGTATCTGCAGGTCACAGCCCCTACCCTGATCTTCACCTTGGTCAATCTTATGATGCGATCGTGACCTACCTGAAGGAAGGGAACAGAATGGCTCAGCCAGACAGCTGCTCTGATGAGTTGTAAGTACAATAAAACAGTATTGAACAAATCCTGCAGTTACCTTTGTGTGACTGTATCATACCAGCTATGAACTGATGCTGAAGTGCTGGTTTTTGGATCCTGATGAGCGACCAACACCCATTGACATTGTAGCCACTCTAACACCACTCGATGGACCTCTTCATGATGACAATGGTTTGAATATGCCGGAAGATGAATGCAAGAGCAAACCAATTGAAGAAAATGCCATACACTTAAGTTAGTCACAATAATGTGTTTCCCTTTGAATTACTAAAACACTGAATGACGGTGCATCAGTTCCCAGGGCACTTGTTGGGGTCTTTTTAATGGCGAAATGCTTGTGTGAAGTTTACATTTCATAAATGAGAGCATACAGCATGTGTTGTGGCATGGACACTATCCATGTCTCAACAACTTGGTAACGAGGTAGAAAGGCAAGGCAAGGCAAACAAGTCAAGATAGGATTTGGATTCAGAGAATGTGTTGTGTGGTAATTGTCACATGTATGCATTAGGCTGTGTAAGTCAGATAGTTGGGGTTCTGGCATACTGAATAGTGTTCAAGTATGGGTTCCCTTTTTCTGTCCCAAATATCCAGTTTATCATCCCCAAAGCTAAAAAACGTACCCTCTTTGGACAGTGTGGCTTACTTATTACAATGCCGTTACATCCATCAGTGTGTTAAAAGTTTGTTATTAATTTCTTGTCTAGGTGAGTAACAATCAAGTCCCCCCCCCCTTTTTCTGGATTCACTGACAGGTTTTTTGGAAATGCAATTCTGTGCTGTGTGAAATGTAACAATGCACGTTATTTTTTTGGTTATAACTCACGATTACAGTTCATACATACGTACATTGATATAAGCCATAAAAACTAAACACCTCACAAAGAAAGAGAAAGAAAACAGGAGAACAAAAAGGCTTCAACGACTGCATTTACAGCCAACGGGATTACATGTGTGTAAGTTACAGCACTAAAGTACAACCCTTGGCACACTAGAAATGCATGTGTATACCTATACACATGCCCAAATCATAACCGTTAAAATTATGGGCTTCATCACTATCATGGTCTCCCGCTTAGGTTTCTGACACAGGATAGCTCGACAGACTATATAGTAGATAATATTCTTAGGGCATCGTGTGACTCGACATTCACCTTCTGTTGCAACTTCTGATGCCTTGGTACACAATGTGGTCGAGGTGAGCGAGTGGTATTTTGTGTACTGGCTTGTTCACTGACTTGGTTTGAATGCAGCGGCTGGCTTGTTGCACGTGGTTGTAGATTAGAACAGACGACACACACACTTACAAACCAAGTATCAAAACTGTCACAGCACGTATAGGGTTAATCACAGGCATATGTGGTATATATAAAAATGGCAAGGTGTATCAAAACCAACAGTACCATAGGAAACCAGGTTCACTCACACAAGCTAAAACAACAGATGGTCTTTATAACTAACCCCTCGGACGGCAAAGCAGAAATTGATGTATAAAGTATTAGCACCTTAGTGTTATAACACTCATATAAATTCTTAATGGACTTATGGAGGCTCTGGGCATATTTATGTGTCCGTTGCTGGTTAAGTGTTAAACCCTACCCACTCTTTCTCATGTCAGTATGCACTATGGGTGTGAGTTATTGTTAAGCTAAAGTTCAGGTAGTATTATGTACTATAATGCCATGTGAAGTACAATCGGTGCACTATTCTCATCATGGCCATAAACACTTTTAACCTACACAGTGAAACGATAAAAATAGTTATCATCATAGAAGTAGTGTTCGTGTGTGACATGGGTCAAGACCCTTCCAAGAAGTAGACTCTGGCCGTACTGTGTTGCGTCTTCCCGAGTTCTCACCAACCCCTTCTCCAGCAACCAGTCCACAAGGTCACTGCCAACAACTACTCCCTGGTAGACTTTCGCATAGTACCTGCAAATTGTGCAAAAGGGCATTAAGTATTCTTTCCAAAAAGAATGAAAAAGCACTAAACTGCAAACCCTCGGCGGAGACACACGTGCTCGCTAGAGAAGGGTTCCATGTCAAAGCAAAGTTGAGGAAGACCGCCTACATACACAGTCTTCTGTGAAAGGCTGCAAATGAGGTAAGCATGCTACCATGTGAGGCACATCTTTCGCTGTGCATCTGCCATGTTTTAGCTCAACAATAGGCTTGGTACAGGATTAGAATATCTTGCGCATGCGCCAACAGATTGTGCCAGGCCCGAACGGGCGCGCGCGCTGAAGTACGCGCATGTGTTGTACTGAATTGATGGGCTGGGCTACTCGTGGACTGGTCTCCTATATACTGTACCAGGTCTCGGTAATGAGCAGTCTACTAGACAACAAGCGACACGCCCCTCATTGCAACCTCTGGTGTCTCCAAGCAGAGGCGGATCCAGCATAATTATTACGACAACTGGGGGTTGTACTTGCGCATGCGCAGGTAGGGCCTCAAAAAGTATCGTGATCCTCTTCCCTCGTGTTTTTTCCCCTGGCCACGCCCTTTCTCCGCCTTTTCTTCAAATTATTACTTTCTACCTGTTTCCATTCCTTTTTGCTGGCTGTGTCATGCCGCGTTTTCGGGACCTCATAAGTTGTACGAGTGACGTCGTAATCTGAAATTTTGAATTTGTCGCAGACGCTGTTCCGTTCCGGGTCTAGACCGCATGTTTGCGACGCACACCGTGTCGTTTCGCTGCGTTGGCAGTGCGTGCTGGCTTTGTGGACGAGACTTCGCAACCTGAGGGAGCGTTTTCGTCCAAGCCGTTTCTTAAAATCCGCACGAACGGGGCCTGCCTTACGTTCCAAGTAAGTAGTATGGTCGACTCAAGCGTTCGTACTGATTCACTGCGAATTATTTCTCGAGCAGAAACGATTTGCGCAGCAACAAGCCAAGGCACTTGTCGACATGCACAGGGACTTGACCCCTGAAGTTATTAGCCTCACTTCCGGCTTTGTCATGATGCGGTGCAGCAGAGCAAAAATGATCTTGGTTTTATGAGACGCAATTCTTCATGTAAGTTTGATAACGTAGCTATATGTAGTGTTAGCTGTCACTCTGCTGCGATATCCTGCGCTTGTGTAGGGGGGTTGTGCGGCACATGACGGGTCAGGCTACGAAGCATGTGCTGTACTACCCGTTCGAGACCTCTCCACGCGGGCGTGCGCGCTGGTGCGGTGCCTTGCTCTATCTTGTTGAATCGGAACATGAAATGCTCTCTGACATTTGCTCGAAATTACCCAGAAATCCAACTCAACCCCACTTATGCTCCAACTACTTTCAACCACCTCATGGAGGAATCGAGGAGTCTTCAGCAGACAGATGGAGCAGCAATATCCGGGTGGTGTCAAAGACTCCAAGGCTGTGAACTGGATTTGAGCAGTGTGATGGTAAATGTAGTTGCACCCATGCACAGCCAATGATGTGGAGCATGGGACGAGTTGCAGAGGTCTGAATCATACCTCCAGCCCAGTGGACACTCACGTCACCGAGTGTGGGGGTGGGAGGATGCTATTACAGAGTTCCTGGGTGATTGGAGATCTCTCGGGTAGGAAAGAAGTGT